GATTATGGGGGGTCAAGAGTGAAGTCATAAAGAATTATAAGGAGGCTATTATGCTGGTCCAATTAAAAGATTGTGGTGGCTTAGACCAAGTCCATGGCAGTGGAAATAGAGAGAAGTGGCTGGATTGAAAAGATGTAAAATATAAATATGACAGGACTTATCAATGAAATGGTTGTAGAGAGTGAGAGAGAAGGGAGTAATCTCAGATGACATTCAAGTCTCTGGCTTGGTATATAGGAATGAGAATCCTAATTATATCATTCAGTCGTTCAGGAGGCTTATTCTGAATGACACTCACCCATTGAAAATATCCTCTTCCTACTCTAAAATGTTGCATCACATTGTACAGACCTCTATTCTCTTACTTACTATGTCCATTTATGGTAATGAAACACTTTATTTGTACATTGTTTTAGCCTTCTTACATGCTATGTACTCCTTAGTAGTGTGGCTTGAAGTAGGAAGGCATGAGGAAAATAGAGGAAGAAAAAAAACCTGACATTTACTGATCATTTACTATGTAACAGGGGCTGCACAGGGCCCTTTTTCAGATATTGCATTTTATTTTCACAGCCTGATTTTACAAATAACAAAATGGAGGCTCAGAGAACTCAAGTGACTTCCCCAAGATCACACATTTTAGGGAGAGACAGAGCTAATATTCAAACCAGGTTTGTCCATGCCCAGAGCCCACCATGAGGAAGCCAAATGACAAAGTATAGAAGAGTTGGGAGGAGGAGCTGATGCCATGTATAGAGCTGCTGCAGGCAGGCAGTGTAGAGGAAAACATGTTAATTGCACAGGGAGAGGAGAGGAAGCTTCACCCAGGCAAGCAGAAAGATTATTGGGCAAGGGAAGTGGGGAAATAGGTGTTGGGAGGACTCTCAGGGAGATGCCACATGAATGAGGTACCAGGAAGATGAATAAAACATATTTTTGATCGAGGGCCAAAGAGTGAATACTCAAAGACCAGGGGAGTCTGGAGCTAAAGAATCAGTCTGCAGGCGCAAGTAAGCTGGTAGTGTTGGGGGGTGGGGGAGGTGAGCTTCAGAGCAAGCATCCCTTAGGGCAGTGGTCCTCAAAGTGTGGTCCTCAAACCAGCAGCATCAGCATCACCTGGGAACTTGCCAGAAATGCAAGGTCCTGGGCATCACCCAAGATTAACTGAAGCAAAAACTCAATGTCTTAACAACCCCTGTAAGGGATTCTGATACATGTTTAAGTTTGAGACCTACAGTCTTGACAGTGTTAGAGGACTAGGGAAAGCAGGGAGTGGAGTTCAAGAGCCAGAGTACAAGAGCCAAACAGTATACCCAGAGCAAGCCTGGGACTGTTGCACATCACAGCAAAGCAGAGCAACCTTTCCAAAGCATAACAGAGTCTGCTGGTCAGAAGTGGTGATGGGGAGTGGCTTCAGAGATGTGGTCTCTGGGGGACAACACCCTCCTCCCTGCACCCCTCCACCTTTCCCCAGAGGTCTTCTTTCTAAGAAACTGCTAAGAGCAAGCTCATCAGAGGATTCTGAGGTAAAGGAGTTAGACTGTCTGTGCCAAGGCACTTTAATTTTCTCCTGGTACCTGATACTGTCACAAAATTTTACCGTGGAAAATATGGGAAGGAAAACAACATTTATTGGGGGTCCCAACATGCTGAACACTGTGCTAAGGGTTCACACAAATGCCAACTGATTTAATCCTCACAATATTTCAGTCATGGAAGTGTTATTATTCCTATTCTGCAGATGAGGAACCAGAGGCTCGAAAAAGTTAAGTGATTTGCCCAAGGTCACATAGCTCAGAAAAAGGCAGCCAAGATACAATCCTTAGTCTTTCTGACTCCAAACGCCATGCTTCTCACACTAGACCATGTTGACTCTAATGTGAAGGTCCCTGAGGTCCTCTCCTCTTTATAGCCACCCCAGGGCCATGTGTTAGTGATGGCCCATAGATGAGTAACCTGGAAATATTGGTTGAATGAATAAATGAAAAGATGTTCTAGTGACAGATTTTAACACGTGAAGGCCCCTTAAGGATATTCTGGTCTTATGGGTTTCAAATATGTTTTTAGTGTACTAGACATTTCTTACTGGTGCTCTGGACATACACACTGTCTGGGAAACCAGTCATAACCAGTGGCCAGGTTCCTCTGTCCCTTCACCCTTGCCCATTCCTATCTCCTTCCCTGCCTTACCTAGAACAAATCCACTTTCATCTTCCATAAGTAGTGGGTGTTTACTAAGATTCTGTTTAGGGAAAGTGTTCTGCTGCCAAAATTAATTTTGAGAAATCCAAATCTAGACCACCTTTTTCATGTTATAGGTGAAGAAACTGAGTGATAGAAAGGCAAAAAGACTTGTCCAGGGTCACTGTGTGCTCTTTAGTAGCATAACTAGAACATGAAGCCAGGATTCTTGAAACATTCTTCTTTTTTAACACAAGTTAATACAGTTTGTGTCCTAATGAAGAAACAATTATTTAGATTTAAACAATTATTTAGAATTGAAATATTAAAAATTATAACTCTAATTTTTGCCTTTACTATGTTCCAGTTATTGTGGTAAATAGTTAATATGTATAGCCTTATTTAAGTTCTTATAACAGCCTTATAAAATGGGTAATATTATTATCTCCATTTTAAAGAGGTGAAAACCGAGGTTTAAGGGGATTAAATTACTTTAATCATAGAATCAGGAAATGGCACAGTTGGGATTTCAGTTCAGAATATCTGATTTCAGTTTTCATGCTCTTAATAGTGATGCCATATTTCAAATGTCTATATTGGAAAAAAAAGTCTATTATTTAGCTTGCTGCTTGTTTTGTAAATAAATTTTTACTGGAACAATGATATACCTTGCGAGCTACAAAGACAAATTTGTGTAGTTATGGCAAACAGAAACTGTATGTTCTGGAAATAAAATATTTAGTAACTAGCCCTTTACAGAAAAGGTTTGCCAACCTCTGGTCCGTAGACATCAACTTGAAAATGTTTTTCAAGTGACCTCCAGGAGAAGGAACCAGAAATATACCCTGGATTTGCAGAAGAGGTGGGTGCTGCTTGTATTGTCAGTGAAATTGGTGAATGAATAATACAAGCCTGGAAACCTGGCCTACCTGGCCTCCTGCAGTCTTCACTGTGTTGATTCAAGTCTATTATGACCTGTTCTTGTTGTCTTTCATGAGTCAGAGCAGAGGCCTTATCCCTTCCCCTCCCTGTCATAAATGCCTTAGAGCTTGGACTTGGATCTCAGCTTAATGAGTTTTGTCGCCACTTCCCCTTTCTTGCTTCAAGGTTCACATGTGTGCCAGGCCGATAATTCTAGGGGCTGCCGTGGCTTGGCTAAGCTTCCCTTGACCACTGAGCATTTCTAAGGGAGTTGAGGCTGGTGGCTCCTCCCTCCTTCCTACTGGTGCTTCCACCTGCCTTGGTCTGAGTTGCAGTCCATGGGGCAGCGCCTAAGTGTCTGAGCACACTTAACTTAAGAATCTCTAGTGGTTTATGACGCAGACTTTGCCCTACCAGCTCAGACTTCTGAATGTTCTCTTCCCTGGACCCTGCTCCAGACACTTTAAATTCACAAGAGGAAAATGTGCCCAGCCTGCCTGGAGAAAAGCATCTGCTCCTAGCCAAGATCTCCTCATCACAAAGTAAGAATATCAGGTGGTGGAACCTCCATCATACCTGTCCCCTTCCTATACCTGGGTCTGTTGGGTAGATGCAGTCATTTTTAGAGAGGCATAGTATTCTCAGACCTGTCGCCACAAATTGCTCCCCACTCATTCTTTTCCTATACTTTGTGTCTTTGAAACCTCTTCATCTTCTATGTTTAATATCTAGACTATACTTTCTTCATGGAATTCTAAATATGTAAATTTACAGGGCTAGGAGGGTCCATATCTAGTTTAAGACCCTCATTGTAGAAATAGAAAAAGGCCTAGAGAAGAGAAGGGAGTGGGCCAAATCCACAAAATCCACATAGCTGATTACTGCTAGAGCAAGTGGGACGAGAACCTTGGTCACTTGACTCAGGATGGTGACTTTTCACTGTTCTCTCTTTCCACCAGGAACAGTAATGACCTTTGACTTTAAACAAATCCAGACCTCAGTTTTACCCTGAATTTTTGGGAGAATGTTTAGGTTTTTTTTTTTTTTTTTCTTTTTAGTATTTTCAATTCTTCCGTGTCTTAGTTTTTAGGGTGTTGATCGGTGTTAATCCAAGCTATCTTCTAGCTATATCTGGTTTCCTCAAGTGGAAAATGTTAAATATAGTTAATATAAAATTTCACTCTAGAATCTGTTAGAAATGACAGAGGCAAAGTTAATGTATATAAAAAAAAATACCAAAAAATTCACCAGTGTCTGGTGGCCAGTAGACTTTCAATAATTGTGAAGTCCCTTCTACCCCCTCGAAAGGACTGTGTTTCTCCCCTAAGCAGCACAGTGTATGTGGTGGTTTCATGGTTAAAAGTTTAGACAGGCCCAGTAAATCTCTCTTCTCTTTTACTTCCTAAGTGTGTGACCTTGGACAAGCTACCTTCCCTCTCACAGCTGAATTTTCCTCAGTTGTAAAATAGAGAGAATTAGAGTATTCATCTCACAGGATAATTGTGAGACTTAAATAAGAGAATGCATGTAAAATGGTTAACATAGGACTTAGAATGTACAAAAAAAAAGTTCTTTGTTTTACTGCCAGTTTTATTTTTACTTATGACCAAGCAGCCATGACCTCAGAATAATAGTCAGGGCTGACAATTGTGCTTCAAAGCAAGAAGGGAAACAACTGGTGACATGGAGACTCTTTCCATTTCTACCTCATTTCTTAAACGGAGCTGTTAAAATCTACCCATGAGCTTTGGCTGGCCACACTGACAGTGTCCTCCTCTTAGCAAAGACCAATTAACAAGTTCTGAAAACAGAAGTACAACCCACCCCCTTGTAATTCCTCCTGAGATCCTAACCAGGATTTGTAAAACACCCGGATATGGGTAAAGAACCATCCCGGGTTTTGTATCAAACCAGGCCCCAGAGGAAAGGACATTCCAGTAGTTTTGTTTCTGGAAAAGAGGGCACCCAGCCCTTCCCCCTCCCTCATCCTCCCATCCCAGTAACCCCTGCCAAATTGAAATCCTGGACTTAATTTAGGAGAAAGGCCCTGTAACCAAGATACTGACTGAACATGGCTGGCGGACTCAGGCTGGAGTCTGCAGTGCAGCATTAATGGGCCGCTGACATGAATATGGAGTAGTTTTCTCTAGCAAAGGTAAGCTTTATTTTCTCTTTTCAAACCCTACTTCACCTGCCTTCCTGTGCAAAAACGTTTATTTAGTTGGGCTTAGGTGAGTCCTGGCAATTGAGAGAAAAAGTCCGTGGCCAAAAGTTGGAGTAGGTTTGGCTGGTGTGCAGGAAAGTTAAAGGAGACAATAGGCTCCTTTTGTTCCTCTCGCCCACGTAGCCAGGACCACACTGGCTTGTCTGTTTCAGGGCCAATCCTGGAGCCATACAGAGTAGTTCATTTTCCTGTCGAAACAGCTTGCTCATCTTCTGTCTCACAGGTTGAGGAATTTATTGAGGTGATGGATCTGAGGATTATATAAGTGGGAACTCAAATACTTAAAAATAACCATGTTTGGTTTCATATTTTGAGACCAGATTGGCACAGAGTAAGCCAATAAATGATAGCTGAACTAAGCTAAACATCTGAATTTGCGTAGTCTTAGTGTCTAAATAGCAAAAATCTTTTAGAAATCATTGGTTCAAATTCTTGCTATTTTTAACAACCGGCTCCCTGACTTTGAGCAAATGCCTGCACCTCTCTGGTCTCAGTTTTTTATATATCACATGAGGGTGATTGAAAAAGATCGTTTCTAAAGGTTTCATGCATGTGTGAATCTATAACACGTTCAGTTTTTCATTACTCAACATCTGTTATATGACAAGCAATCCTTTTGCTAGGGACTCAAATATCCATGGTTTTGTTTGGGCCTCAAGACAATCCTGTGAAATAAATATCATCCCATTTTTTGGATGAGATGACTAAGGCTAAAATAATTTATTGAAAGGTCACATAGCTATCACAGACAAGAGATGGGATTTGAATCAAGGTCTTTAACTTCAAATCGGTATGTTTTCTATCACAGAGTTAAGAAGGCAGAGGACCAAAAGGTGAATTTTGATGCAGGGTTTATTAGGAAGGCTGCTGAGAGATTGGAGACAGGGCCCCAAATTTGGCTCAGCATTCCTTTACTCAGTGGAGTAATCCTTTGTTTAGGATGAGCCTGTCTAGCCCAAAGTACTAAAACTGAGAAAGGGAGATGGAGGAAGAGAAAAGAGCATTGTCACAATAAAGGAACAGTTTGCAAATTCCAGGGAACACAGCAATGCAAATTGTTATGAATAATAGGGACCAGACCCAGGTAACATTGGGATGACAGGAATGTAAGGTAAAGCTAAGGGAGGCTTAACTTTATATTGGCTGATCTTCTCTCCAGGTTGGCGCAAGGTTTCATTATATCTTAACTAAACTATCCAAATAGCCTAGAAATTTCCTTTCTCTTATCCTTCCTTTGAGTGCCTCTTCCTTCTGCCTCCCTTTTTAATTAATTAATTATTATTATTATTATTATTTTTTACTTTTTCCCAGGATTCTTTCTCAACTTACTTACTTCATTTCTCCTTTTATTTGTTCCTGTTCTTTTTCCTCATCAGTCTGGTTCTTTTTTTTTTTTTTTTTTAACCTGGAACTTTTTTTTTTTCTTTTTTTATTATACTTTAAGTTCTAGGGTACATGTGCATAACGTGCAGGTTTGTTACATATGTATACTTGTGCCATGTTGGTGTGCTGCACCCATCAACTCGTCAGCAACAATCAACTCGTCATTTACATCAGGTATAACTCCAAATGCAATCACTCCCCCCTCCCCCATCCCTGTGATAGGCCCCGGTGCGTGATGTTCCCCTTCCCGAGTCCAAGTGATCTCATTGTTCAGTTCCCACCTATGAGTGAGAACATGTGGTGTTTGGTTTTCTGTTCTTGCGATAGTTTGCTGAGAATGATGGTTTCCAGCTGCATCCATGTCCCTACAAAGGACACAAACTCATCCTTTTTTATGGCTGCATAGTATTCCATGGTGTATATGTGCCACATTTTCTTAATCCAGTCTGTCTCTGATGGACATTTGGGTTGATTCCAAGTCTTTGCTATTGTGAATAGTGCCGCAATAAACATACATGTGCATATGTCTTTATAACAGCATGATTTATAATCCTTTGGGTATATACCCAGTAATGGGATGGCTGGGTCATATGGTACTTCTAGTTCTAGATCCTTGAGGAATCGCCATACTGTTTTCCATAATGGTTGACCTAGTTACAATCCCACCAACAGTGTAAAAGTGTTCCTATTTCTCCACATCCTCTCTAGCACCTGTTGTTTCCTGACTTTTTAATGATTGCCATTCTAACTGGTGTGAGATGGTATCTCATTGTGGTTTTGATTTGCATTTCTCTGATGGCCAGTGATGAAGAGCATTTTTTCATGTGTCTGCTGGCTGTATGAATGTCCTCTTGTGAGAAATGTCTATTCATATCGTTTACCCACTTTTTGATGGGGTTGTTTGTTTTTTTCTTGTAAATTTGTTTGAGTTCTTTGTAGGTTCTGGATATTAGCCCTTTGTCTGATGAGTAGATTGCAAAAATTTTCTCCCATTCTGTAGGTTGCCTGCTCACTCTGATGGTAGTTTCTTTTGCTGTGCAGAAGCTCTTTAGTTTAATTAGATCCCATTTGTCAATTTTGGCTTTTGTTGCCATTGCTTTTGGTGTTTTAGACATGAAGTCCTTGCCCATGCCTATGTCCTGAAAGGTATTACCTAGGTTTTCTTCTAGGGTTTTTATGGTATTAGGTCTAACATTTAAGTCTCTAATCCATCTTGAATTAATTTTCATATAAGGAGTAAGGAAAGGATCCAGTTTCAGCTTTCTATTTATGGCTAGTCAATTATCCCAGCACCATTTATTAAATAGGGAATCCTTTCCCCATTTCTTGTTTTTCTCATGTTTATCAAAGATCAGATGGCTGTAGATGTGTGGTATTATTTCTGAGGACTCTGTTCTGTTCCATTGGTCTATATGTCTATTTTGGTACCAGTACCATGCTGTTTTGGTTACTGTAGCCTTTCAGTATAGTTTGAAGTCAGGTAGTGTGATGCCTCCAGCTTTGTTCTTTTGACTTAGGATTGTCTTGCCAATGCGGGCTCTTTTTTGCTTCCATATGAACTTTAAAGCAGTGTTTTCCAATTCTCTGAAGAAACTCATTGGTAGCTTGATGGGGATGGCATTGAATCTATAAATTACCTTGGGCAGTATGGCCATTTTCACGATAGTGATTCTTCCTATCCATGAGCATGGTATGTTCTTCCATTTGTTTGTGTCCTCTTTTATTTCACTGAGCAGTGGTTTGTAGTTGTCCTTGAAGAGGTCCTTTACATCCCTTGTAAGTTGGATTCCTAGGTATTTTATTCTCTTTGAAGCAATTGTGAATGGAAGTTCATTCATGATTTGGCTCTCTGTTTGTCTGTTACTGGTGTATAAGAATGCATGTGAGTTTTGCACATGGATTTTGTATCCTGAGACTTTGCTGAAGTTTCTTATCAGCTTAAGAAGATTTTGGGCTGAGATGATGGGGTTTTCCAAATATACAATCATGTCATTTGCAATCAGAGACAATTTGACTTCTTCTTTTCCTAACTGAATACCCTTGATTTCTTTCTCTTGCCTGATTGCCCTAGCCAGAACTTCCAACACTCTGTTGAATAGGAGTGGTGAGAGAGGGCATCCCTGTCTTGTGCCAGTTTTCAAAGGGAATTTTTCCAGTTTTTGCCCATTCAGTATGATATTGGCTGTGGGTTTGTCATAAATAGCGCTTATGATTTTGAGATACGTTCCATCAATACCGAATTTATTGAGAGTTTTTAGCATGAAGGGCTGTTGAATTTTATCAAAGGCTTTTAGTAGGCTCTGAAATTGAGGCAATAATTAATAGCCTACCAACCAAAAAAAGTCCAGGACCAGATGGATTCACAGCTGAATTCTACCAGAGGCACACGGAGGAGCTGGTACCATTCCTTCTGAAACTATTCCAATCAATAGAAAAAGAGGGAATCCTCCCTAACTAATTTTATGAGGCAAACATCATCCTGATACCAAAGCCTGGCAGAGATACAACAGAAAAAGAGAATTTTAGACCAATATCCCTGATGAACATCAATGCAAAAATCCTCAATAAAATACTGGCAAACCGGATCCAGCAGCACATCAAAAAGCCTATCCACCATGATCAAGTTGGCTTCATCCCTGGGATGCAAGGCTGGTTCAACATATGCAAATCAATAATGTAATCCAGCACATAAACAGAACCAAAGACAAAAAACACATGATTATCTCAATAGATGCAGTCTGGTTCTTCTCTATCGGCTTAGCTGAGAAAAAAATAGCCTTGCCCAAGTGAAAAGCTTACACAGGGTTTTCACATCTTTCATATTATTTGACCTTTATTACAAACTAATGAGGGGCCCAAAGTAGAGACAATCCTCATTTAAGACAGGAGGAAACTGAGGCTCAGGAAGTTAGGGACTTGTTCAAGGTCATATAACCAATAAATGATGAATCCAGAGCTAGAACTGACTTTTTTCTTGTACCTGAACGCAGTCCACTTTACCATGAAATATCTAAGTGGTTATATTTTATTTTATTTTGTTTGTTTGTTTGTTTATTTATTTATTTATTTATTTATTGCGACCGTGTTTTGCTCTTGTTGCCCAGGCTGGAGTGCAATGGAGCGATTTCAGCTCACCACAACCTCCGCCTCCCGGGTTCAAGCGATTCTCCTGCCTCAGCCTCCCTAGTAGCTGGGATTACAAGCATGTGCCACCACGCCCGGCCAATTTTTTGTATTTTTAGTAGAGACGGGGTTTCTCCATGTTGGTCAGGCTGGTCTCGAACTCCCGACCTCAGAAGATCCGCCCACCTCGGTCTCCCAAAGTGCTGGGATTACAGGCATGAGCCACCACACCCGGCCTAATATCTAAGTGGTTACAAAGGATTTTATGGGTTTTCCATTTTTTCTGCTCTTATAGTATAAGATAAATCCAAATTAAATAGCAATAACAATGACAAATTCAGATTTGAGGAGGAAAGAAAGGATGTCAATAATTAGAAGGAAGAAAAATACTTATCAGGTGCCTACTAAGTCCCAGATACTGCAAAAAGTTATCTTATTTAAATACAGGGTAAAACAGTACTTAAACCTAAGTTCGTCTGACTCAAAAGTTCTAGTTCTTTACATTATAGCATGTTGTTTCCAAGAAGAGAGTTCAGCTTGGGCTGTGTGTGGTTTCATACCTGTGTATATATTCCCGTATGCTTAGAATGTGTTACCATATATGGGAATTTATGAGTGTGCACATATTTGTTGCTATTCATAAAATGGAAAATATTTATGGCCCTGTCAAGTTTCATTCCCAAACGATTTCCTTACTTGCGATAGTAATAGCCACTAATACCTTTTGATCACTTACGTATGCCCTTAAAGTACTTACAGATCTTAATTAATTTAATCCCCACAAAACTCTATGAGGTAGCTAATAGTATTAATACCATTTAAAAAATAAAGACATTGTGGTTAAATAAATGAAGAAGTTTCCCAAGTCATACAGCTAGGAAAACTGGAGCCAAGATTCACTTAGGTAGCCTGATACCAAAGCCTGTGCCCTGGATGCAAAATCGAGTAAGTATTCCTTATCTCTCAAGATCTTGAGAATTATGTAAGATGGAAGATATGAAAAACACATTGTAATCTGGAAACTGCTAGAGATATGTTAGGTGGCACTTCCCCCCACTCCCCAGATTCTATTGTCTAAGCAATTTGGATCATAAGTCACCACTGTTGAATGCTTGTTCACTGTATGCTGAAGGCCTGTACTAGTCTCTTCTAGGAATATTTTCAGTTTTATCATGTGTTTCTCCAGTTGTGGAGCTCTTGCCTGGGACAGTTTTCTGTCTAGGTAAATGAGTTCAAGGCACAACTGCTTTGTTGACACCTCTCTGAGACAGAAGATTGAAAGGGTTCCATGTTGCATTCAGACTTGGAATGAACCAAGGACACTCCCTCCCTGTTGAGGATTCCAAGACATGACTATTTGTGTGACCATATATAGAGCTATATGTAGGATATATAGAGCTATATGTAGGTGTATATGAGTATGCTTGTGTTTCATCAGTGAATGTGAGTATTGGCAGCATGTGAAAGCTGGAAGGACTCTTTGAGAGCTCATTATATACCACATTTTTATGGTTCTGCACTTAGATTACCAAACTTCTGTGACTCCCTCAAAAAGTAAGAACTATATAGTCCAGCTTTATATAGTCAATTATTTTATAGATGGGAAAAATAAGGTGAAGAAACTTGCCTAAATTCACCCTGAACAAGTATTAGAACTTGAACCAGACCCAACTGATGGAAAAATGTATGCTTGTGTTTCTTTATGTCACTTTAACAATAGCTGTTATTGCCCATCTACTTGGCCTTCATCACCATGTCTGGTAATAGATACACAGCGACCTCTAAAAAATGACATTCTCTTTCAAGGAGTGTGTAGTCCAATCTGAGAAATGAAGACAGTTCACGAAGCAGGTCATGAGATGGAAAGGTAACAATAATACAGAGTCTGACTTAATCTAATTGGGTGCTAGTAAGTAGCCCTTCAGAGGATAGTGATATGGAGAGGCTAGAGTTGGCCTTCTGGAGCAGCAAGTATTCAAATTAACCCTTGGAGTAGGAAAATAGAAAGTATGATGCATGGGAGACTGTAGAGATGAATTAGCAAACTGTAGCCAGGAGGGAAAAGGAAGAGGAAGGCAACCAGTAGTTACTACTGCCTACTATATTCCAAACATGGATTATACTTGTCCCTTTCATGTAAGCTTTCTTATTTATTTCTCCAAGGCTGGTATTATTATACCCATTTTACAGATGAGAAAACCGGTTCTGAGTGGTTAAGAAATTCTCAAGGCTACACAGCTGGTCAGTAGGAGAGCCAGGTTTTGGAATAAAGAACCACAAAACAGATCCTCTCTTACATCAAGGGCTTTCTGCCAAATATAATATGGAATCTAGGGATTAACACTTGGGTCACTGCTGCATATGGAGAGGACTGGGAGTTTGTGAAGTAGTCTATAAGTTTGTTTCTTAAAAAGGGTAAATATCTGGGCATTTTCTATCCATATGTAAATCTGTGCATACATTTGATTCTCTATTTTTTATTAACAATGCCTATTTCATGTGCTTGGGTTGAAGATTTAGTGAAATAATTTATATAAAGCACTGGACATGGTGCTACTATGTAATAATCTCTCAGTGAATAGTAGCCATTATCATCATTATCATTAATACAATCTATTAGGTATATTTCTGCCTACAAGAGTATGTGTGTCTGTTTGTAAAATGATTGTAACTGCATGTAATTGCTTGTTTCAGAATGTATGTGTTTTTTTCACAAATATGGCTGTAGCTATGGGCATATGTATGTTCTCTGTGTATATACATGTGAGTGTGCAAGTATATTTTTGTGGAAGGTAATACAGCATGGTGATTATGCTGGAGCCACACTTCCTGAGCTCAAATCCCAACTCTACCGATTTTTATCTAGATGGCTTTGGGCAAACTACTTTACACCTCTGTTCTGCAGTTTCTCTGTTGTAATAAGGGGATAATAATGGTGTCTACTTCATAGGGTGGTTGTGAGGAATAAATGATTTAATCTGTGTAAAACACTTGGAGCAGGTGCACCATGCACATACAATAAATATAGCTTTATTATTATTATTATTATTATTGTCCTGAAGTTGACTAAGATTTTATGTAACAGAGTGATTTTATGTGTAAATGGAAGTGTGTGCATCTCTGCTTTTAGGTAAGACTACATGTACCTGTGTGTGCAAGTTTATGTATTTATGTAGTGCTGTCCATGTTTCTGTGTTTGACTGTAACTGTGTATGGTATCACTGAGTGCTTCGTCCTAGTCCCAGGAAATCTAACGTCCTGACTTATGCATTGAAGTGAGAGGTTAGAATCTTGGGTCTGCTTCTGACTCAGGATTAGACCTATGAAATGAGTTTATGAATAGCCTTGGGAATCAGCAGACAACATTTCTTCTGAGAAGTTCAAAATACTTCCCTCACATACTATCATTTATTTTTGGTTCATTGTTAACTTTTGAAGTATAATACACATAAAGTGCACAAATCTTGTTTATAGCTCAATGTATCTTCATAAACTGAGAACGCTTTTTCAACCAGCATGTAGATCAAGAAACAGAGCATTACTTAGAAGCCCTTCTCTTCCCTTCCCAGTCACAGAATCCTACTCCAAGGCAAACATTATCCTTATTTCTACCAGTATAGATTATGTTGGCCTGATTTTGTACTTTATTTAAATGAAATCATACAATATGTACTATTTTGTGTCTATTTTTTTAAACATTACATTTGTCATAGTCATTCATATTGTTGTGTGTAGTTGCAGTTTGTTCATTATTATTGCTATAAAGAATTTCATTTTATGAATAAAATGCAATGTGTTCATTATAGTGTTCGTGAACATTTTGACTGTTTCTATTTTGGGTTTATGAATATTCTAGTAAATATTTTTTGGTAAATTCTCACTTGTTGTTAAGTACAATTTAGAGAGGATAGGAAGTGGCAACAATGAGTGTTCCCCTTTTGCCTATGGGAAAACAGAGGCAAAGGGAGAATTAGTGTTAGCGGCCCAATAAGGCTTCTGGTGCCTGTTACCTGATTCTTGGGAGAGAGAATATTCTTCCTGCTACACCTTTGAAAAAACAGGGACATGGATGCAGCTGGAAACCATCATTCTTAGCAAACTATCACAAGAACAGAAAACCAAACACCGCATGTTCTCACTCATAGGTGGGAATTGAACAATGAGATCACTTGGACTCGGGAAGGGGAACATCACACACCGGGGCCTATCATTCGGAGGGGGAGGGGGGAGGGATTGCGTTGGGAGTTATACCTGATGTAAATGACCAGTTGATGGGTGCTGACGAGTTGATGGGTGCAGCACAGCAACATGGCACAAGTATACATATGTAACAAACCTGCACGTTATGCACATGTACCCTAGAACTTAAAGTATAATAATAAAAAATAAATAAATAAATAAATAAATATAAAAAAATAAAAATTAAAAAAAAAAAAGAAAAAACTGGATCCAGATCTCTCTTCTGAAGGAACTAGTAATACCCGATTAGCAGCATGGGTGACTTTTTAACTATGCCCTTCAAAATCCAATCACTGAACACTTATTGAACCAGAAGGAATCAGGTAAGCTAAAGAAACTGGGCTAATTGGGTTTTGCTTTCTCAGTCACTAAATCTGGCTCATGCCTCTTCAGTTTTCTGGACACGTAGAAATCCCTTTTGTTCTCTTTCTTCTACACCAGCAGTTTTTATTTGCCTGTTTCCCAGAGTAATGTGGGCCATGGAGTCAGGCCACCTCCTCTGGGCTCTGCTGTTCATGCAGTCCTTGTGGCCTCAACTGACTGATGGAGCCACTCGAGTCTACTACCTGGGCATCCAGGATGTGCAGTGGAACTATGCTCCCAAGGGAAGAAATGTCATCACGAACCAGCCTCTGGACAGTGACATGTAGGTTTAATTTCTTGTGGTATTTGTGGGGAAGTTGTGGGAGCACCCTTGAGGTCAGGAAGTAGCCTCTTGTGACCCCTTTCCCTGGATGTGGTAGCCTCCAATTCCTGATCACTCCGAGCTGTGCATACTTAATGGCATATTTCCTGGGAAGAAGGCTAGTTGACTCAGAAGCCAGTATTTCATCTGGAGTTTGCCATAACATTTTTAGAGTCTTAAAGAGAATTTCATATTTGCTGTTTTCTAATCTGAAACCCACAATGTTTACTTATTTAATAACAGCTGTTTGATTTTAAAAAAGAATAATGAAATATATACAGTGTTTATAAGATGTATGTGTGGGAGCTATGCTTCTATAGTTTGGTGAAGCTACTGTATATTTATTTCAGATATGTGAAAATGTAAAAAAAGAAAGTAAACCTTAGAATCAAGGAATTAATGGTAATAGCTCTCACTTATGTAATACTCTGTGATACAGACCATACTAGAAATTTACATTCTTTGTCTCAACTCTCACAAAAACTCTAGAAGGTAAGTATGTGTGTAGTTATTTTATAGATGAGAAAACTGAGGCTCAGGGAGGGCAAGTGACTTATCCAAGTCCTATAACTAGTAAATGAAAGAGATAGGATTTGAACCTGGATAATGTGAATGTAAACTAATGCTCTTCTCACCACTCTGTCCCTCATAGATCCCATAGGATTCACCTTTCCTGATCTTAGAAAATAGCAAGTGCTCCACAAGTATCTGTTAAAGAATAAATGAATGTACGAAAAAATCTTTTGTGACCGTGACTCATTTTTTCTCTCCAAAGCTTTGGAGTTTTCCAAAGTTGATTGTAACATCTCTGAGTTCTCTGAGAAGAATTAGAGTATAGTAGGAATAACAATTCTGTCTTTTTTGACACAAAGTATTCATCTAGTTTCAGAGTCAGAGTCCTTGTATTAATTTTTTTGAGGGAATAAATTCATTATCTTCCATCCCTAGTACTTTGAAGTAATAGTCCATATTTATTGAGCTTTTACTATTTGCCACTGTCCTAAGCTCTTCGTGTATTTGAATGTCTTTTAGTCACCAATAAAAGCTCTCTTAGTTAGGAACTATGATTATTTTCATTTTACAGATGGGCAAATTGTGTACGGAGTAGTTAAATAACTTGTTCAACATCCCACTAATTTGGAAGTGACAGAGTAAGCAATCAGTCCAAGTGGCTTGGCTCCAAAGTTTGGAGTTATAACCACTATGCCCTAAAGTCTCCCATATGTCTCAGAATGATGTTAAGTCAGGCTACGTCGACGAGAAGTCGATCACTTAAAGAGTCAGTCCACAGTTGGTTGTCTCTTTGTTACTATATATTGTGTCAAACTATGTGAAATTGCCTTTTATGTGGGTTTAAAGTGGTCAAATATCAGCAATTTCATATGCTGATATTTGAAATTTTTAACAGTTAAATCTAAAACTTTAGTGTTTTGATCAGTACAATCCTGTTTCCTCTTATTTTGTCCTAAACAAAGATATTCACTTTTTGGCCAGTCTCCTCTGGAAAAGGAGCCTTCCAAGGCTTGAAGATGGGGGGCAAAATTATGACTCTCTTTCTTCTTTCCCAGAGTGGCTTCCAGCTTCTTAAAGTCTGACAAGAACCGGATAGGGGGAATCTACAAGAAGACCATCTATAAGGAATACAAGGATGACTCATACACAGATGAAGTGGCCCAGCCTGCCTGGTTGGGCTTCCTGGGGCCAGTGTTGCAGGCTGAAGTGGGGGATGTCATTCTTATCCACCTGAAGAATTTTGCCACTCGTCCCTATACCATCCACCCTCATGGTGTCTTCTACGAGAAGGACTCTGAAGGTAAACCATTTTGCCGTTTCTTTCCCCCATGCCCAACAAATATCACTTTTCCTTTACTGCCATTTAAAGGAGAAGAGTTGGCAGTGAAGATTGTCTTTTCTTCCTATTTATCTGAGGTTGCAAAGACTCTCCTCAGAGTAAACAAGGGTGGGCACTGGTATCAGCTCTGCCATTCATATATTGTGTGACTTGGACAAGTCATTGTCTCTCTCTAGGTCTCAGATTCCTTCTCAGAAATGTGAAGACACAGTCTACCTCTTAACACAAGGAACTATTTGAATGGCATTTCCATAGAATATTTGAATATTCTATGAAAAGAAAAGAGAATGCTATAAATGTGAAGGATTGTCATCCTAGTGTCACAGTCTTCTGAAAGTTCCATTTCGTTTTTCCCTAAAGGGGAGTTCAGCTTATTTATCTCTACTTCCCTTATTCCTGGCCCAGTGATTTATAATACTGACAACAGTGAGTGAGAGGAATAGAAAGGGAAGTCAGAAGACTCTGGCTGGGCCACTGAATCCCTGTATGATCCTGGACAAGTTGCTTTTCCTTAGTTTTCTCTTCCATACAATGGAGAAGCGAACCAACTATTCATTAAGTTGACTGTAGACCGAAATTATGTGATTGCCTGCTTTTTTTTTTTTTTTTTAAGTGAGTGCTTGAAGGGAGGGAATCATGTCTTCTTCCTTGCTTCTATGCCACCAGCTTTATGCTATGGCATTACCAGATCAGGCCGAGCTGTACTTTTCCTAGCCATAGAACTTTTCAAGTGGCTACAATCTTTCCACCCATTGTTAATGTGAGGACTGGATTTTTTAGGTTAAATGTTACCTAAATCTGTGCTCTCCTTAGGTTGTGAGGAACACTATGCAAGTCATTAGAATGCTACATTTTATAAGACCGGACCTAGGGTTCTACATGTCAGCTGTGTCTTAATTTATGTATTTGCCACGGTCCCTCACTTATTCTGGGCCTGGGCATGTGCAATTTCATTTCTAGGTTCCCTATATCCAGATGGCTCCTCTGGGCCACTGAAAGCCGATGACTCTGTTCCCCCGGGGGGCAGCCATATCTACAACTGGACCATTCCAGAAAGCCATGCACCCACCGATGCTGACCCAGTGTGCCTCACCTGGATCTACCATTCTCATGTAGATGCTCCACGAGACATTGCAACTGGCCTAATTGGGCCTCTCATCACCTGTAAAAGAGGTACAGGTCCCAAGGATAAGCTATGAGGTGCAGTTTGGGACATCTAGGGGTAGCAGTGATATGGTTGAACCACCTACATATTGGGCAGCAGCTTGAGGAGTGCTAATTCAGCACTCTTGTTTATTAGCAAGGAAAATCTCTGCTAAACTCACTTTCCACTATTTTTTTTTTTTCAATTTCATTACTTTTTTCTTTGTTTGTGGGTTAGGAACAATTTTTTTTTTCAATAGGTTATTGTGGTGCAGGTGGTATTTGGTTACATGAATAAGTTCTTTAGCGGTGATTTGTGAGATTTTGGTGCACCTATCTCCTGAGCACTACACACTACACCCTATTTGTAGCCTTTTATCCCTCGCCCACCTCCCAGCCTTTTCCCCAAATCCCCAAAGTCCATTGTATCATTCTTATTCTTTTGCACCCTCATACCTTAACTCCCACATGTCGGTGAGAACATACAATGTTTAGTTTTCCATTCCTGAGTTACTTCACCTACAATAATAGTCTTCAATCTCATCCAGGTCACTGCAAATGCCATTAATTCATTCCTTTTTATGGCTGAGTTAGTCCATCGTGTATATCTATCTATCTATCTATCTATCTATCTATCTATCTATCTATCTATCTCACAGTTTCTTTATTCACTTGTTGATTGATGGGTATTTGAGTTCGTTCCATGATTGATTTTGCAATTGTGAATTGTGCCACTATAAACATGCATGTGCAAATATCTTTTTTGTATAATGACTTCTTTTCCTCTGGGTAGATACCCAGTAGTGGGATTGCTGGATCAAATGGTAATTCTACTTTTAGTTCATTAAGCAATCTCCACACTGTTTTCCATGTGGCTCTACTAGTTTACATTTCCACCAGCAGTGTGGAAGTAACTGTTCCCTGTTCACCACATCCAAGCCAACATCTACTGTTTTTTGATTTTTTGATTTTGGTCTTTCTTGCAAGAGTAAGGTGGTAGTGCACTGTGGTTTTGACTTGCATTTCGCTAATCATTAGTGATGTTGAGGATTTTTTCATATGTTTGTTGGCCATTTGTATATCTTGTTGTGAGAATTGTCTATTCCTGTTCTTAGCCCACTTTTTGATGAGATTGTTCGTTTGTTTTTTTCTTGTTGATTTGTTGGAGTTCACTGTAGATTCTGGATATTAGTCCTTTGTCAGACGTATGGATTGTGAAGATTTTTTCCCACTCTGTGGGTTGTCTGTTTACTCTGCTGACTGTTCCTGTTAGCGTGCAAAAACTCTTTAGTTTAATTAAGTCCCAACTATTTTTCTTTGTTTTTATTGCATTTGCCTTTGGGTTCTTACTCATGAAATCCTTGCCTAAGCCAATGTCTAGAAGGATTTATCTAATGTTTTCTTCTAGAATTTTTATAGTTTTAGGTTTTATATTTAAGTCCTTAATTCATCTTGATTTGATTTTTGTATAAGGTGAGAGATAAGGATCCAGTTTCTTTCTCTTACATGTGCTAGCCAATTATCTCAGTACCATTTGTTGAAAAGGGTGTCTTTACTCTACTTTATGTTTTTGTTTGCTCTGTCAAAGATCAGTTGGCTGTAAGTATTTGGGTTTATTTCTGAGTTCTCTATTCTGTTCCATTGGTCCAAGTGCCTATTTTTATACCAGTACCATGCTGTTTTGGTGAAATGGCCTTATAGTATAGTTTGAAATCAGGTAGTGTGATGCCTCCAGATTTGTTCTTTTTGCTTAGTATTGCTTTGGCTATGCGGACACTTTTTTGGTTCTGTATGAATTTTAGAATTGTTTTTCTAATTCTGTGAAGAATGATGGTGGTATTTTAATGGGAATTGCATTGGATTTGTAGATCGCTTTTGGCAGTGTGGTTATTTTCACAATATTGATCCTAACCAACCATGAGCAGGGATGTGTTTCCATTTGTCTGCGTCATCTATGATTTCTTTCGGCAGTGTTTTGTAGTTCTCCTTGTAGAGGTCTTTCACCTCCTCAGTTAGGTATAGTCCTAAGTATTTATTTATTTATTTGTTTGTTTGTTTTTTTGTTTGTTTTTGCAGCTGTTGTAAAAGGGGTTGAGTTCTTGATTTGATTCTCTGCTTGGTCACTGGTAGTGTATAGAAGAGCTACAGATTTGTGTATATTTATCTTATATCCAGAAACTTTGCTGAATTCTTTTATCAGTTCTAGCAGCCTCTGGAGGAGTCCAATTTAGGGTTTTCAAGGTAAACTATCATATCATCAGCAAACAGTGACAGTTTGACTTCCTCTTTACAGATTTGGATGCCCTTTATTTCTTTCTCTTGTCTGATTTCTCTGGCTAGGACTTCCAGTACTAAGTTGAAGAGGAGTGGTGAGAGTGGGTATCCTTGTCTTATTCCAGGTCTCAAAGGGAATGCTTTCAAGTTTTCCACATTCAGTATAATATTGGCTGTGGGTTTGTCATATATAGCTTTTATTATATTGGAGTTTGTCCCTTGTATACCAATTTTGCTGAGAGTTTTAATCATAAAGGAATGTTGGATTTTGTCGAATGCATTTTCTGCATCTATTGTGAGGATCATGTGATTTTTAAAAAATTCTGTTCACGTGGTGCATGTTCTCACTCATAGGTGGGAACTGAATAATGAGATCACTTGGACTCGGGAAGGGGAACATCACACACCGGGGCCTATCATGGGGAGGGGGGAGGGGGGAGGGATTGCATTGGGAGTTATACCTGATGTAAATGATGAGTTGATGGGTGCTGACGAGTTGATGGGTGCAGCACACCAATATGGCACAATTATACATATGTAACTAACCTGCACGTTATGCACATGTACCCTAGAACTTAAAGTATAATAATAATAATAATAATAAAATTCTGTTCACGTGGTGCATCACATATATTGACTTGCATATGTTAAACCATTCTTGCATCCCTTTCATACCCATCAAGTTAGTATGAAACCCACTTGATCACAGTGGATTATCTTTTTGATATGTTGTTGGATTCCATTAGCTAGTATTTTGCTAAGAATTTTAGGACCTATGTTCATCAGAGATATTGGTCCTAGTTTTCTTTTCTGGTTATGTTCTTTCCTGGTTTTGGTATTACGGTGTTGCTGGCTTCATAGAATCAATTAAGGAGAGTTTCTTCTTTCTCTCTCTTGTGAAATAGTGTCAAAAGGATTGGTACCAATTCTTCTTTGAATGTCTGGTAGAATTCCACTGTGAATCCATCTAGTCCTGGAGTTTTTTGGTTGGTAATTTTTTAACTGCCATTTTAATCTTGCTGCTTGTTACTGGTGTATTCAGGGTATCAAATTCTTCCTGGTTTAATCTAGAAGAATTGTATTTTTACAGGAATTTATCCATCTCTTTTGAGTTTCTAGTTTACGTGCATAAAGGTGTTCATAGTAGCTTTGAATCTTTTGTATTTCTGTGGTGTCAGTTGTAATATCTCCCCTTTCATTTCTTAATGAGATCATTTGGATTTTCTCTCTTCTTTTCTTGGTTAGTCTTGCTAGTGGTATATCAATTTTATTTATTTTTTTCAAAGAACCAGCTTTTTGTTTCATTTATCTTTTGTATTTTTTTTTTGTTTCAATTTCCTTTAGTTCTTCTCTGATCTTGGTTATTTCCTTTCATCTCTAGTGTTTGGGTTTGGTTTGTTCTTGTTTCTCTAGTTCCTTGAGGTGTGACCTTAGAACGTCAGTTTGCACTCTTTCAATCTTTTTGATGTAGGCGTTTAGAGCTATGAAATTCCCTCTTAGCATCACTCTTGCTGTATCACAGAGGCTTTTATACGTTGTGTTATTATTGTCAGTCAGATCGAAGAATTTTTAAATTTCCATCTTGATTTCATTTTTTGCCCAATGCTCATTCAGGAGCAGATTAATTTCCATTTATTTCCATGGTTTTGAAGGTTCTTTCAGAGTTGATTTCCAGTTTTATTCTACAGTGATCCGAGAGAGTGCTTGATATAATTTCAATTTTCTTAAATTTATTGAGGCTTGTTTTATTGCCTATCCTATTATCTATCTTGGAGAAAGTTCCATGTGCGGTTGAATAGAATGTGTAATCTGCGTTTGTTGGATGAAATATTCTGTATATATCTGTTAAGACTATTTGTTCCAAAGTATAGTTTAAGTCTGTTGTTTCTTTGTTGACTTTCTGCCTTGGTGACCTGTCTAGTGCTGTCAGTGGAGTATTGAAGTCTCCCGCTATTATTGTGTTGCTGTGTATGGCATTTCTTAGGTCTATTAGTAACTGCTTTATAAATTTGGGACCTCCAGTGTTAGGTGCATATATGTTTAGGATTGTAATATTTTCCTCATGGACAAGGCCTTTTACCATTATATAATGTCCCTCTTTGTCCCTTTTAACTGTTGTTGCTTTCATGTTTGTTTTGTCTGATATGAGAATAGCTTCTCCTACTCACTTTTGGTTTCCTTTTGCGTGAAATACCTTTTTCCACCCCTTGACTTTAAGTTTATGTGAGTCCTTATGTGTTAGGTGAGTCTCCTGAAGCAGGAGATGGTTGGTGATTTCTTATCCGTTTTGCATTTTTGTATTTTTTAAGTGGGGCATTTAGGGCATTTACATTCAATGTTAGTATTGAGATATGAGGTACCATTGCATTCATCATGCTATTTGTTGCCTGTGTACCTTGGGGTTTTTTTTTGTTTTGTTTTGTTTTGTTTTGTTTTTGCTTTTTAAATTTTATTTTTGTTTCATAGGTCCTGTGTGATTGATTTATGTTTTCAAGAGTTTCCATTTTTATGTATTTTCTGGATTTGTTTAAATATTTAGAACTCATTTTAGCAGTTCTTGTAGTGGTGGTTTGGTAGTGGCAAATTCTCTCAGCATATGTTTGTCTGAAAAAGACTGTACCTTTCCTTCATATATGATGCTGAGTTTTGCTTGATACAAAATTCTTGGCTGGTAATTGTTTTGTTTGAGGAAGCTGAAGATAGAGCCACAATCCCTTCTAGCCTGTAGGGTTTCTGCTGAGAAATATGCTGTTTATCTGATAGGTTTTCCTTTATAGGTGACCTGGTGTTTTTGTCTCACAGCTCTTAAGATTCTTTCCTTCTTTGTCTTAACTTTATATAGCCTGATGACAATGTGCCTAGGGGATAATGTTTTTGTGATGAATTTCCCAGGTATTCTTTGTGCTTCTTGTATTTGGATGTCTAGGTCTCTAGCAAGGCCAGCGAAGTTTTCCCCTATTACTCCTCCAAATATGTTTCCCAAACTTTTAGAATTCCCTTCTTCCTCGAGAATAGCAATTATTCTTAGGTTTGGTCATTTAACATAATCCCAGACTTCTTGGAGGCTTTGTTCATGTTTTCTTATTCTTTTTTCTTTGTCTTTGTTGGATTGGGTTAATTTGAAGACCTTGTCATCAGCCTTCGAATTTTTTTCTTCTACTTGTTCAATTCTATTGCTGAGACTTTCCAAAGGATTTCGCATTTCTATAAGTGTGTCCAATGTTTCCTGAAGTTTTGATTGTTTTTTCTTTATGCTATCTATTTCCTTGAATATTTCTCCCTTCACTTCTTATTTTTGTAGTTGTTGTTTTTTCTTTATTTCCTTTCATTAGGCTTCACCTTTCTCTGGTGCCTCCCTGATTAGCTTAATAGCTCACCTCCTGAATTCTTTTTCAGGTAAGTCAGGGATTTTTTTTTTTTTTTTTTTTTTAATCTTGGTTTGGATCCATTGCTGGTGAGCTAGCGTGATTTTTTGGGGGGTGTTAAAGAACCTTGTTTTGTCATATTACCTGAGTTGGGTTTCTGGTTCCTTCTCATTTGGGTGAGCTCTGTCAGAGGGAAGGTCTAAGGCTCAAGGCTGTTCTTCAGGTTCTTTTGTCTCAAAGGGTGTTCCCTTGATCTCTCCCTTCTTTTTTATGGATGCGGCTTCCTGTGAGCTGAGCTCCAGTGATTGTTGTCTCTCTTTTGGGTCTAGCCACCCAGCAAGTCTACCTGACTCTGGACTGATACTGGAGGTTGTCTGCACAGAGTCCTGTGATGTGAACTGTGTATGGGTCTCTCTGCTGTGAATACCAGCGCAGTATTTGGGGTGTCTCCCGAGTCCTGCAGGAGCAGTCCATTTCCTTCAGAGGGTCTGTGGGTCCTCTTGGGATTCCTGGTGTGTTCATGCAGGGTGCTGGAGCTAAAATTCATGATGCAAGCCTCCACATGCTGCTCTGTCCGTTCAAGTCTGAGCTGCAATCTAGTCCTGACTCTTGTCCACCATGATGATCGTAGGAACCTTTTTTAAAATTATTGTTATTAAAAACAACAAAACACCGAACTTTTCTCCTTTTTATTTTTTGTTGTTTCACTTTTAAATCTCAAATTAGTCATTATAGGAGTCAAGTCACATTGAAATCAGATATGTGGTAAGAGTTTAGATATGGATAAGACTGAAAGTGTGGTCATCAGGGTTTGGGAGGATTTTGCTGGTAATAGGACATGCTCCAGGAAGAGTCAGACTTGACGACCAGAGGGTGGCAGGAATGTGGGCAGGTTTAGGCCCTGGGTTGAAGACATAGGCAGGGATGGTGGGAGGGAATTATTGTAGATTCTATGTGTCTTAACATCAAGTTCTAGGTTCAACTGAATTGGTGGTTTTAAATGGGGAGTTCGGAAATAGAAATTAACCCAAGAAGGTTATATCTGCTTTTCTGTTGCTTACAGATTCTTAAGGCCCCTCTCTTTCTATTCCTTTCTTATGAGTACCCCTTTCAGCTTACTATTGCTAAGGAAAGGATTTTCTCAAGGGAAACTTTCTTACTTGCTCTAGGAGCCCTGGATGGGAACTCCCCTCCTCAACGGCGGGATGTAGACCATGATTCCTTCCTGCTCTTCAGTGTTGTAGATGAGAACCTCAGTTGGCATCTCGATGAGAACATTGCCACTTACTGCTCAGATCCTGCTTCAGTGGACAAAGAAGATGAAACATTTCAGGAGAGCAATAAGATGCATGGTGAGTTGGGAAAAGGTGGCCACATTGTGACAGGGAACATTGTTGGAGGGTATCCACTGGGCCTAGTATTTGGTGAATGCTTTCACATACATAATCCTTTTTAGTCATCACAAGGACAAGGAGTAGTAGATGGCTCTTCCCTGTTTTACATGTGAGGACACCAAGGCTCCTAAGATTATGCAGCAGATAAATGGCACAGCTAAAATTCCAACCCTGATCTCTCTGACTACATAGATTGTGCTCTTGCCCTTAGGCTATTCTGCCTCATAATGTAGAATAGCACATAGGCTGATGACGGCCTGTGGAATAGCACACAGCCTAAAGTTATATAGTATATACTCAATTACTTTGCTGTGGGTTTCCCACTGATAACAATTAATTAATATTGATTTGTTTTAAAAAGGAAGAAGTTAGCAAAATTATCCACTTTGAGGAGAAAAATGGTTGCTTTCAAGCTACCTTGTTTATATCTCCCATCCTACTCTGTGCTTATGTCTATAAGGGCATTGACCATATTAATTAAATTAAAAAAGAAACTAAAGGCACAGAAGATCTGAGGCATGAATGGTGAACTGATTTTAGGAATATAAACAAGTCGATTTTGTTTTTATTTCATTAAGGAAGTCATTTACTGGCCACTGGTGACAGGGGTGGGCTAAAAACCATACAGCCCCAAAATGAGGCGGAAATTCAGAAGGAAGATGTAAAGGATGGCTTGGACAGCTCAACTTTCTCTTGAATTTTATACCAATTGATTATAATAGCCATGTTAATTAGTCAGCCAGTTTGACAATTGTCCTGTTGAAATTTTTAGAATGAAACCACCCTGAAATAATAGCCTGCAAAATAACTAAATTCCTTAGAGTGCTTCTTCACATTTCTAGTTTGGAATATTGGCTTTAAGAATTTATTAGCTCTATGGCATTGGGAAAGAAGTAACTTCACCTCTCTAAGCCTTGTTTTTTTTCTCTCTCTCTCTCTCTCTTTTTTTAATGAGACTAATGATATCTGCCTATTTCTCAGGGATGTTTTTGAGATTTAAAGAAGATATGGTCAACACAGTGTGCTATTTATAACCTCATTTAAATGTCATCTATTACTGTCAAATGGTAAGGCTTCTTCCATTCGGGTGTCCTTTCCTAATCTTGATATTTTCCTTCGATTTTCTTTTGCAGCAATCAATGGCTTTGTTTTTGGGAATTTACCAGAGCTGAACATGTGTGCACAGAGACGTGTGGCCTGGCACTTGTTTGGCATGGGCAATGAAGTTGATGTCCACACAGCATTTTTCCATGGACAGATGCTGACTACCCGTGGACACCACACTGATGTGGCTCAGATCTTTCCAGCCACCTTTGTGACTGCCGAGATGGTGCCCTGGGAACTTGGTACCTGGTTAGTTAGCTGTAAAGTGAACAGTCACTTTCGAGGTGAGATCCAAGATTTCTGACCCTTGGGTTGTAAGACAGAGGTACGATAATGGTCAAAGGAGGCTGGGCTTCTGGCCTGAAGCCATAGATAAGTCTTCCATTTGAGGCATCTTGGGATAAAGGATAGCACACTAGATTAGAATCGGGGACCCAGGTTTTTTCTGAATCTGCTGTGAAACTTGCTGGGTAACTTTGGGCACATCTCTCTGTGTTTAATCTTCCCCACCTTGAACATAAGATAGCTTGGGGATGAATAGGTAGACTTTTAATCAGCGTTTTGTTATTTGCTTAGAATTCTAAACAATTAATGCCTGGAGACATTTTCAACATATTGAACAGGGAGTGAAGGAGAGATTAATTAAAAGACAGTAACATTTCTGTAGGAGATCATGGTGAATTGTGGGTACATAGTTACACTCTGGTTGGAACTCAATAGCAATAGGAGTGGAAGGTTTCATTTTCAAAGGGAGAAACATTAAAGTAATGTCATTGCAGAGCAACGTATTGAGGAACATCAGATGCGTCAGAGGAGAGGAAGAGCATATGAGGCAAGGGAAAGAATAGTAGATAAGTGATTAGGTTTGAATTGTAGTCTCAGGTTTGTGAAAAACTTTATATGACTTTAGACAGGTGCCTTTCCATATCTAGGTCACATTTGCCACATCCGTAAAATGGGAAAGTTTGTCTAAATAGCCTCTTAAATCCTATTCAGCTTTCATTTTCTAGAATTATTTGATTTATGGTAAATTAGAATGGGTGTCACAAAAATGACATGCGAGTTCTTGAAGTGAATTTGAGTAGGTTAGGAGTCGTAGACTAATAGGATAATAAATCTTAGGTGTTAGGTTTGACACAATAGGGGCCAGTTACATGTGCTCCATTATCCAGGGTATGTCTTAGCCCCAAAGCTTCTTAGGTAAGAGACTATAAATATGAATTGGGGTTAGAGAGGCAGCATGATAGTGGAATAAGCATGGACCTTAGAGACAGACATGCCTGGATTCAAATCCTGGTTCTATCACTTGTTTAGCCACCTTTGATAAATCATGTCACTTCTCTGAGCCTCTTAATAGCAGTAGTGATGTATAAAATTGTAATGAGGTTTTAGAGTAAAAATGTGATTTTGAGTCTTAGAGAATAGGGGGATGATGTAACCAAGATAGTAGATATAAGAAAATAAAATGAACACTTAAGATCTGTAGTTGAAAGATGGGAATTTAAGTCTCAACTCTACCTCTGACTAGCTGTGCAACCTTGGCAAGTTATTTAACCTGTCTGACCTTTAGTTTTCTTCATCTGCAAAAGGGGACATTAAAAGTGTATTTCATACAATGGTTGTAAAGATTGATAGGGGTAACATATGTACTCCCTGGGACTGAAATTTTAAAAAATATGTAAAACACCTGACACAGAACCTACCTAACATAATACATGTTGAAGAAAAAGAGTATTTTTTCCACTCCCTTCATCATACCTCAGGTTTCTAATTTACAGATTTCAAATCTCCCTGGGATGTTGTGGGACTCTAATAAAATAATATACTAAGTGACCTCTACAAGTTGCTAAGCCAATATAAGACAGTACTATCCATTGCCATTATGACCCAATGTAGTATATTCCACATTTGAAAACACTACTTAGAATCTACAGTCCCAAGTCTGAAGCTTTATCTCCACTGATAGAAGATGTTCTATTATTCTGGGAGCTTCCCAATTTATAAATAATTAACCCCTATTTTAAATTTGATGCTCCTACCAGCCACATGAGGTAGACTTTCCTATTCTCTCCTTTGGCAAAAGAGGGAAGCTCAGATTGAGGAAGTGACTTGCCTAAGGTCCTATAGATAGTGCTTAAAGCTTGGGCTTGACTCGTTTCCTTACTTCCGTCTCTGTGATGTTGCTACAATGTGAGTCTATATTCAGAGGCAGGAATGAAGATCTAGTAAATGCATCAGTGGTGGTATAAGCAAGTGGAGGTACTTGAATTCTAACCTGGACTCTCTCTCTCAGTCAGGCATTTTAAGAGTGAGAGAAAGTGGCCCTTTTTGGAGCAGGAGTAGAGATTAGTGGAGGGTGGGAGGAGGAAACACTAACAGAAGGAGGAAGGTGAGTCCTCTGCGTTAAAATCCTATTGGATAGAATGGGGTCAGCCATAATGTTCTTCCTTCAGATGGCATGCAGGCACTCTACAAGGTCAAGTCTTGCTCCATGGCCCATCCTGTGGACCTGCTCACAGGCAAAGTTCGACAGTACTTCATTGAAGCCCATGAGATTCAATGGAACTATGGCCCGATGGGGCATGATGGGAGTACTGGGAAGAATTTGAGAGAGCCAGGCAGGTAAGAGGCAATGGGATCCCTCTCTTTACTTCTGGGTCCAACTCCAAACACTTACTATCTTTCTTCTAGAAATCTCTCACTTTACTCGGGAATCAAAATCATTGTCTGACTGGGATTACATGAACCAACTGTTAGCCAAGTTCTTGTGGCCCCTGGAGAGCTTGCTCTTGGGGAGATACAGGTAACAAAGCTTTTTGTGGGATTATTCCATATCCTCACAACGAGTCCAAGCAGAGTTTGAAGTCGGTCCTACTATAATTCCTGGCCATTTTCATAAAGGAAAGTCCAGGTGGGACCAGTTCTTGTATCAGTTGAAATAGCTGTTTTTCCAGGTTTCTTCACTTTACCCATTATTTACCTCCTTGCTCCTTCATTTATTTTCTATAGTCTGAATGAGGCGTTTGAGCAGGAGTATAAAAAGCACTCTGAGGAATGTAGGAAGAGAGGCAACCTGCTTTTTGGCTATCGCATGCCCATTCTTTTCAAGGAATTTCTCCAAGTTCTCCTGCCTCATTCATGATCCAGATGTGGGCAAGAAAGAGTAGGAGGTTAGTGCCCTACTCAGTTGCTGGGTCTTAAGTCATACCACTCACTGGGCAATTGATGATGATAGGTCTTCCACAGAGGAGGTGCTTGATAGACAACTAAGAGAGGGGTTGGGAGAAGGTCCTTCATGGTTATACTTCTAGCAGGAAATAATAGAGTAAATCTGGAGAAAACTTAGGAAAGTTGGTGTTTGAGTCTCAGCATGGATTCCAGGATTTATAACTGGGCTTATTAACATAGTGGGCTTTCATTTTGGAGTGAAAGGATTATTAATGCCTAAGGATGATTAAGGACAGATGTAGACCATGAATCTCTGAGGGGCAGAACTGGTCCCCAGTGCCTGGAAATTATAAGCAAGAATATTCCAATTTACGCTAAAATAGAATTCCAATAATTTAAAATACCCAACAGTAAGGGAGATTGTCTCCTCTGGATATGAGTTTCCTATTTTTGGAAAGGCTCAAGCAGAAGCTGTATAAAACTTTCTAGTGGTGTCGCCAAAGAAGATATCTTCACTGGTGGGAGTTAACTTAGATGAGCTCTGAGGTCCTTCCTAAACATAAAGATTCATAACTTGATGAGACTAAGGGTGAGATGGGAGTCTATTTGATACCAAATGAAATCGTATCATATTTTCCTTTTTATACATCAGTATCTCAGATAAGTTTTTCCAGAAGAGCTCCAGCCGAATTGGGGGCACTTACTGGAAAGTGCGATATGAAGCCTTTCAAGATGAGACATTCCAAGAGAAGATGCAGTTGGAGGAAGATAGGCATCTTGGAATCCTGGGTGAGGAATTTTTTAATTCTGAAATTCATTTACTAGAGCCAGATAATTGAATTGAGGAAGACTTTGAAGCTGAGGCCTGGACATCACTTAGGAGCACGGTATAGACTAGTATCTCCCAAAGTGAGTCTTATGAGACGATTGTTTTGTGAAAAAGGGTTATGAGTCTGAATGTGTTTGTAAAACCACTAAATTAAGCAGTTAAATAGTGCTTTTTATGCTACAGGATTTCTAAGAGCCTTAGGTTTATTTTTGTTTATCATGAATCTCCACTTTTTTTCAGTGAATGTCTTCCAATACCACTGATGTACAGTAAACACTTTAAGAATTCCTTGTCTAGAAATATTCCTAAAGGGCTACATGAGGAATTAAGAATGTATATGTTCTCAGCAATCTGGGGACAGTAGCAGATTGGCATGACATACAGACATACTTGAAATAGGAGGAATGCGAAATAGGCTTAGTGTCTGAACTCGAAGAAGGTATCTAGAAGGGCTAAACCACGGTTAGATGTGGGTTAGTAACATGATGGAACCAGAAAATAAAATAGTCCAGATGGAAAAAACTTGAGAAATTAATATAATGGACCATACTTGGGACAGGTGTGTGCCAGTTGATTCTAGATCTAATAATGGACAATAGATCTTACATCAGCTGGATAGGCAGATATAATGAGGAGACATCCACCACAGGAAAGAGAGATGGTGGTCAGCGTGAAGGAATTGTCATTGGCTGGACTTCAGTATGGGTGCCCAGTCTTTGAGAAGAGGTGAAACATTAAATGTGAAAATTGAATAGGAAACCAAGGTAGAAACTCTGACCAAGGGTTAGAGCCAGAATAGGTGCCCAGTTTTGGTACTTTTGGTCTGCTTCAAAGGTGACCTAAGCTAGATTATATGTGGCGGGTAGTGAAGTTCAGAAGAGTCCAGGAGTTGTGGCTAGATTACCTAGCCCAGTGCCTGAATAGAAGATATAATAATTCTCTTTGCTCAGAATTGGTTTCAGATTGAGGCGAGCGCAGATCTTAGATAGGTCCACCAAGAGATTTAGCTATGGGATCTGGGACAATAAAGTAAGTGAAAATTAGATTGGGGCTGACAGTGGGATGAGAGAAATTCTTGGCCTCTGGTCCTGGCTGAATGGCTAATCAACCATTTAAATTTGCGTAGGTAAATTCCACCTCTCTCAGCTGAAATTTTCTCATCTGTAAATTGGAGTTAATAATTCCTGCCCTATATGCCTTAAAATGATGTTTGAGAATCAAAATAAGATAATGGGTTTTCCAGTGTTTTCTGTAGCTGTAAATTGCAGTACACTTGAAAGGGATTATTCTTATTATTACAAAGAAAAGAGTTTTTTATTTTCTTCTTCACTTTCACTTTCCTTTTCTTTCCCTCCTTCTTCTTCCATTTCCTTCCTCCCTGTTTATCCCTTTCGTCATTCTCATTATCTCTCCTTCCCATTTTCCAGGGCCAGTGATCCGGGCTGAGGTGGGTGACACCATTCAGGTGGTCTTCTACAATCGTGCCTCCCAGCCATTCAGCATGCAGCCCCATGGGGTCTTTTATGAGAAAGACTATGAAGGCACTGTGTACAATGATGGTGAGTCAACAGGGTTTCTAGTAAATGTGGGCTCTAGGTGGTACCAGATGTCTCTAGAAAACAAAAAATGGGGGATGGGGAGGACGAAGTAGGCAGAAATAGTTCCCTTATGTGGATGTTGTTGAATGAATGAAAAATATAATAGTAAAACAGAGCTAGGCTTCAATAATAAGATAAAATCTCTTTTAAATATATCCTAATTCTAAACATAAGTGTATTATAGAACTCTGAAAAGCAGACAATTACAAAGTAAATAAACATCATTTATAGACAGTTATATAAATTTTGATATACCTTTAAATATTTTTATGTGTTTATACAAGTCTGTATATAGAGATATGTGATCATATGGTTTATACAGTTTCGCATCCTACTATCCTCACTTACCATTGTATTGTGTTTGTTTTTCCATGCCATTATAATGCTACAAACATTTTGATGACTATATAACATTTTATCTCAAGGATTTGTCATAATTTATTTACTTTTTCCTCTATTGCTTGGACATGTAGGTTTTATCAGTACTTTGAATATTGTAAGTCAGGTTGCAATGAATGAATGCATATATCTTAGCTTGCATTTTGGATTACTGTATCAGGAGAGAATCTTAGAAGTGAGAGTATTGTGTAATTAATTTTTAACTTTATCTGAGAATATTAATGCATGCTAATTCTAGCTAAAATATAAAATAAAAACTGAAAGCATAAAGAGCAAAGTTGCAGACAAATCTTCTATAAGGCAACTGGTCTAGTCTCTTTAAGAAGTCAATACCATCAATAGGGGGATTAGAGACATAACAAATGGAATGTGCAAATTTTGATTGATTCTGCTTATAAAAATAGCTTCAGGAGACATTTTGGAGATGATTGCAAAATTCTTGATATAGACTGGATATTAGATGTTATTAGGGAATTTTCTTAGGTGGAATAATGGCATCATAGTGACATAGGAGATGCTTGCTAATATCATGATGGTTGCATTCTACTTCCAAATGATTCAACAAAAGCAAACCAACAAAAACTGTGTATGTGTGTGTAGATGTACATATACATAGATTGGATAAAGATGGCAAAATGTTAGCAATAGATTCTAGGTGACAGGGTGATAATTGCACTGTTTTTTAAAGTTTTCTGTGTATTCAAAAATTTGAAGAGTAAGAAATAATGAATGAATAAGAAAAGATAGGTTAAAACCATCCTAAATTATAGCCCCTTGTTTTAAGCTATACTACAAATATCCTTCCATATGTTTCTTTGAACATTTTTATAAACCTTTCTTCAGAATATATTTTTAAGATGAGGAATTGCTATATCAGAGGGTATGTACATTAAAATTTTTGGTACCTACACCCAAATTACTCTCTGGAAAGATTTGCAGCCCTATCAGTTTAGAGTTCCATTAGCGGTACCTGAGGAGGGCTCCTTTTCTGACAACCTCATCAGCAATGGGGAAATCTTTTCAATATTGTCGAAATGGCAGTCTTGTAGGCAAATGACAACATCAACAAAACTCACTGTTGATTTGATTTATGTTTGTTTGATTATTTTATGTTGAACATTCAGTATTTATTGCATATACTATTCTACTTGTGGATATGAACCTTTTAAATAACTAGCTTTGTCTACACTTTTGTCTACATTTTTTTTTTCAAATTTTGTCTACATTTTTTTCAAAAGTGTTATTTCCTTTTACATTTACACTCTTTATAGATGAGTGAGTAGGGCAGTTGCCATCTAAACCACTTCTTACCATCATGCATTATTACAATTTGTAAAATCTTTGCTAAATTACTTTGTAAAAAAGTTATCTAGCTATTTTCAATTGTACTTCTTTAATTACTGATGGCATGAAAATTTGAAAAAAGTCTGTGCATTGCTTGACCATGTCTTGTGTCCATTTAGAAATTACAGCCTTAGTGTTTTTTATATATATGTGTGTATATATATACACACATACATACATAACATATACACACCCACATGTACATAATACATATTAAAATAAAAAATATTAAATAATCAGAGCTGTTCAAAGATGACATGGGCTATAATGGCAGGTAGTGAGTACCTCATCACTGCAGAGTTTTAAGCAGAAGTAGGGATGTAAGAGCAGATTAATGTATGTTTTCAAGTGAGAGATGTTCCAAATAAGACTTAAAGTCCCTTTTAGTCCCAAGGTCCTATGATCTTGGAAAACTGAAACATAGGGAAGATTAAATTGCTGCATTTCATATAGCAAGTAGTGGCAGAACGAGAAAATAAACTCATCTCTTGACTCCTTGACCAGAGTTCTCAATATTCAATATTCCATGTTGCTGCTACTGCTGCTCCAAAATGCCTTTGTAGTTCATAATCTTTATTTCGCTGTTTGGAGCTGATGATTCTCATTCTAGTCAATCTAAGTAATTAGTCCCATATTTTCCCTACAGGCTCATCTCACCCTGGCTTGGTTGCCAAGCCCTTTGAGAAAGTAACGTACCGCTGGACAGTCCCCCCGCATGCCGGTCCCACTGCTCAGGATCCTGCTTGTCTCACCTGGATGTACTTCTCTGCCGCAGATCCCATAAAAGATACAAATTCTGGCCTGGTGGGCCCGCTGCTTGTGTGCAGGGCTGGTGCCTTGGGTGCAGATGGCAAGCAGGTATTGTCGGGGTTATCTGGCTAGGAAGCCTGCTGGGAGAAGGATGAAGCTGGGTTGCTGGATAGGAGTTAAGCATGGAACTGGGTTCTAAAGTTTATGGAATAGAGGAAAAATAATCAATCTGGTCCATCAGAAATTAATAGTTGGTGACCTCATGCTATCTTGCATGTTATTTTTTGTACTGACAAATATATATCTTCTTTAGCCTTGCAGATAATTCACGATATCCTTTCATCATCTCCTTCTTTCCTCCCTCCTTCCTTCCCTCCTTCCCTCCCTTCCTCCCCCTCTCCTTCTTCCCTCTCCCTCTCACCCACCTTGGTGGCCCCTAAACCTTGCTCCTGATTGGTAAATCTGCTTTAATGTTTGCTTGTCTTCTTTTGTATTCAGCCCACGATTTCTAGCTGTGTAACACTGGTTGAGCTACTTAACTTCTCTTTGACTCCACTTCTTCATTTGTAAAAATGGCATAACAATGGAAGAAGACACCTTGGGTTTCTGTGAAGATTAATTAAAATAATCCATATAAAGTGCTTAGCACAGGGTCTGGCACGTAGTAAGCACTCAATAAATGTTAGTGGTAACAATAATTAATACTGATATTACTTATCTTTTATTTTCTGGTTTTCCCCCAAGATGCCCCCCTGCTTTTCTAGCCACCTCCCCTCATTTCTCTCCCCAGGTGATTCCCAGCTCTCTTCTTTTACACTGTATACCTCTTATGTCTTATCCCTATGCTCCTTCCCTGCCCACTTTCATACGTTCTTCCCTGTCAGGCTTGTCCTTTTATTCTGATCTTCTTCTCTCATCTGCAATTTGAGGTTACCTAAGGAAAAACTGCTGCAGCTCTGGATAGGAGGTATGGGCTCAAAATGGGAAAAGGAAATGGCAAAGAATCTGGCATCCCTTGATCTGTAACGACACAGTCCACAACTGCTGAAACCATTGTTATTTTTCCCTCTACTTTCTTCTATTGGGCCTGCAGAAAGGGGTGGATAAAGAATTCTTTCTTCTCTTCACTGTGTTGGATGAGAACAAGAGCTGGTACAGCAATGCCAATCAAGCAGCTGCTATGTTGGATTTCCGACTGCTTTCAGAGGATATTGAGGGCTTCCAAGACTCCAATCGGATGCATGGTATTGGGAGTACTTTTGCCCTGGGCTAAATTGAGGGGTCCCAAGTAAAATCTAACTTTAACCGTAATCATGACCAATCCTGAAAACACTGATTTTATTGGTCATCTCTGTCCAAGAGGCGAGATAGATTGAGAGGTTAAACCAAACACAACAGATCTTATACTTAGTACCTTTGGGTGCTGTGTTCTGTGTTACACAGTATGGGGGGCACTGGAAGAAAGTACTGCAAAATGAGGATTGTGCACAAGAAATCTACAAGGGATTGTGAAGAATAAGCCAGATGATACCTTTCCAATCTTATCTCCCTCTTCCTTATATTTTAGTACCTTTGCTCCCCCACCCCATACTCCAGCCAACTGGGGCTATTTTTCTTGTGAACATGCTGATGTCATGTTTTTGCAGTGCTGTTCCCTTCACTTGAAATGCTCCATCTCTTGGTTCCCATTACTAGTTAGTTTCATCATTTGGAAAAAGTAAAACTGTCTCATGAGCAAAGTTCATTCCAGTTAGAATTTACTGAGTGCCTAATTGGTACTAGGTAATGTGCTAGGTGCTCAGGCAGTCACATAGATATAGAAAAAAAAATGATATGCTTCCTGTTATGTCAATCCAGTGCAGGAAATAGATTTGTAAGTAAATCACCAGAAAGTATATCAATTACATTCCACAGCAACTGATACTGCAGAATTTTGTGGGATAAAAGTTTCATGGATCAAAGAGAGTGTTATAACTGATTTACAGAGGATATCTGAACAAAGATACGATGGGTAAGTGGTAGGATGCCATAGAAAGAGACCATAAGGGAAGTTTATTCCAGAAAGAGGAAACTATGTGAAAAGTCAACAGGTATTATCAAAGCGCCTACAATGTTTAAAGTTTCGGTAATGCAGAGACAAATAGAGCTCATAGATAAGGACAATGGCGTGTGTGTGTGTGTGTGTGTGTGTGTGTGTGTTTGTGTGTGTGTAAGAGGATGGGAGGACAGATTTCAGGTAGGAGTACCAGAGAGGAGGCTATTGTAGGAGTTCAGGCCAGGGAGGATGAGGGCCAGAACTAGGGCAGTAGCAGTGAAGATGAAGAGGAGGAAACAGGTTGAGAGCTGAAGATGGAATTTTCAGATCCCCAACACATTATGGAGGGGTGGAAAATGAGATCAATGTAGAAAAGGAACAATCAGAGTGGTTGTAAAGGGACCAGAAAGTATGTTGCCACAGAAACCAAGGAAGGAGAGTTTCAAGAAATAGGGAATAGGAGAGATTGGTGTGTGTGTGTGTGTGTGTGTGTGTGTGTAGTAGTGGTTCAATGTTGTCAGGATGTGGATCATGGTGGAGGTGAGGCAAGAAAGGACAGTTGAGTGCTCATCTCAAAGACGCAGATAATCACGAGTAGAGTTAAAGTGGATTAGAGAAGAAGGCAGAGGTGTTGAGGATGACTCAGCAGTTTCAAGTTGTGTGAAACCATAGTACATAGCTGATACCATGCTGCTGGCCAATGCTGGAGTAGTCTGGTCTCATCTCCCCATCTTGTCTTGTGTTTTTGTTTTCCAGCCATTAATGGGTTTCTGTTCTCCAACCTGCCCAGGCTGGACATGTGCAAAGGTGACACAGTGGCCTGGCACCTGCTCGGCCTGGGCACAGAGACTGATGTGCACGGAGTCATGTTCCAGGGCAACACTGTGCAGCTTCAGGGCATGAGGAAGGGTGCAGCCATGCTCTTTCCTCATACCTTTGTCATGGCCATCATGAAGCCTGACAACCTTGGTAAGTGCCTTAGCGGCTGGCCCTAGAGGCTTTATTGGGTATAGGGCCAGGAATGGGGTCGGGACGAGGGAGGGATGGTGAAGAGAAAAGAAGAGGCATGCTGACGGTTCTAGGAAGTTTTTAAAAACACTTTCGTCTTTTTCTTCTTCAATGTGCTCTCCATGTTCTGGTTACTTGGGTTCCCTACTCAGCTGCAGGCAGAATAGAGTTAGTAGAAGGTAGAGGAAGCTCTTTTCTGGAACAACAGAAGGGAAGTTGGGATGTTGATCAGCTTTAGTGCAGTTCTTACATGGCAGGGAGTGGACTTGACCACATAGAGATTTTTTAGATATAGTACTTTTATTGGGAGGAAGGTAAATAAAATGCACTTATAAGTGCTATCAAATTGATACTCTGAGGATTTCTACAGACTTTCGCATTTCTGGTCTCTCCCTCTCTCTCTTTCTCCCCGTGACACACCTCTCCTCCCCTGCTGCCCCCGGCCACCCCATTGTGTGTGTTTGTATGTGTGTGTGGTGATGTAACAATTTCAGCCTGGAAATCAGAACACAGGAGCCCTAGTTCAGGATCTTTCATTAACTTGCTGCGAACTTTGGTCTAATTACTTCCTTTCTCTCTAGCTAGATTTCTTCCTTCCTTGATTCTTTCCTTTCTGCCTTCCTTCCTTCTGTCCTTTTGTCCTCCCTCCATCTCTCCTTCCCTCCATATCCTTTTTCTTCCTTTTATGAAGATGTTTGACTATAACGTTTCTTCAGATTCTAGGTATTTCTAGCATTTCATAATGGAGCAGTTATCTTTTCTTTTGTCCCTATGGTGTATTTTTTTTCCCAGCCATTAGATGACAATAGTGTTTGTAAGAACAACCTGTCAGCTCCACACAGTTCCTATTAAACTTTTGTTTTACTCCTGTAAATTCCATGCATATTTCGGGGCAAAAACATCCTTGAACAAGTGTCTTCAACACTTTAATAAATTTAACCTAGTCCTGAGTTTGACAAACACTTGACATAAAGCTGGTCTCTTCAGAAATAGAAAGGACAGTTTGGAGGCTATTGTAGTTTTCTCGTGAGAGAAGCTTGTGGCTTGGACTAGGGAAGAGGCAGTGGAAATGAAAAAATAATTTTGAAGGAATTGCTGATAGGATTTACTGATGCAATAGATAAGGGTGGTAAGGGAAATAAAAGAAGTAGATGTGGAAAGAAATGAACAGACCCTTTCTTTCAAGGTGTTTATAAACTAGTAGAAGGGATCATTTTAAAAGAGAGGGGCACTTAGCCCTTTAACATATGCTTTAGATATAAAGTGCATTAGGGGTGGAGAAGCGAAGAATGCAGAACTCTGTTTGGGCCAAAATAGTCAGGGAGGGCTTTCTGGAAAAGAAACATGAATTGGGTCTTGGATAATGAGTGGACTCTCATTGATACTTGGGGGTTGGGTGGACAGGTAAGTTCCACAAAGAGGGTGACAAAATGAATGAAGATTTCAAGGTAGGAATGAATGAAATGTGTGAGAGAAGCAGTCAGAGTTCCATGTAGTTGGAGTGATAGTTGAATTTGAGACAATGTGTGGGAAGTAGAACTGGATAGGTAGTTTGGGGCTAACTCATAGAAGGCTTTGAAAGCCAGGAAGAAGAGTTTGTAGTGATGGGATAAGCACTGAGCAGCAAAGTAAGGAAACGATGAGAGTAATGTTCTACGAAAGTTAGCTTCTTTGATCGACGTTGAGTTTGAGTATCCTTGAGGTAGAAATTTGGAGCTTAAGATCCGGTTGCGGCAACTCCACAACACAGACATTTAAGACTGTTACCTGCACATTCCATTGTAAAAAAAGAGTGAAGGACCTTCTAAAGCTGTCTTAGGTAAGCATCCCTCTGCAATCAAGACGTTCTCTTTCTTTTTAGCTAACTATTAAATTCTATTTTATTTCTTTGGTACTTGGTGGGAAACAACTCATCATTGTTTTTCTTGGAATAAGTATTATTATAGCTATATTTACTTATTTATAGCATCACTTAACTGAGCATTGAATATGTTCTATACTAAGCACTGTTCACAAATTATTGGGTTTAGTTGTAAAACAACCAAATAAAGTAAAATAATCCTCATTTTACTGATGAGGGAACTGAAAAACACAGAGGTTTAGCAATTGCCGCAAGGTTTTATGTGTGTATATATATATACACACACACATATATTATATATGTATGTATATGATTTATATATAATAAATGAAAGATAGGGTTACCAACCATGGCAGTTTGCCTAGTACTACGGGGTTTCTAGGAATATGGGACTTACAGTGCTAAAACTAGAAACACCCTGGAAGAAGTTGGTTATTCTAGTGTCTGAGTTTAGTTTTAATAAACCCAGTGTATGTAGCTTTGGAGCTGGAGCTCTTAACCTTTGAGCTCATTACTCTCAATAAACTTTTAATACTCTTTTATCTATGTGTAGTTAAGACAAAAGCCTTATCTGAGTCTATCTGAGACTGATTATTTTCTACAGTATGCCTAGGGAAAGGCAGGAAATCCCCCAGGCACCACCCAGGGGTGTTCTGAGTCAGATTTTTCTCTCTGATCCTCCCTTAGGGACATTTGAGATTTATTGCCAGGCAGGCAGCCATCGAGAAGCAGGGATGAGGGCAATCTATAATGTCTCCCAGTGTCCTGGCCACCAAGCCACCCCTCGCCAACGCTACCAAGCTGCAAGAATCTACTATATCATGGCAGAAGAAGTAGAGTGGGACTATTGCCCTGACAGGAGCTGGGAATTGGAATGGCACAACCAGTCTGAGAAGGACAGGTAAGGCTTCAGAAATGGAGAGATTACACTTTTAGAAAAGTGTTTTGCAAATGAGAATACTGAAATTCTGAGATGAGGAGACTCTTATCTCAGGTCTCCTAATATGATACCAACAGATTTGGGAGATGGGGCTATAATGCAGCTCTTACGAATTCTAGCTCAGTGCTGCTTCTATATTGACATAGTGAGGGAATAAAGCTTGCCCACACTTTCACGCTCTTAATCTTTGTCTCTCTTCTTTCAGTTAACTGAAGTATTTACCCTGGGACTTAAATTTTACAGGATTTACTCAAGGGACTGAATGTCTCAAGCTCAGCTGCCCCTTGACAAAATGGCATTGCATTTATTAAGGTACAGACTAAGCTATGTAGCAGAAAATGTCTAAAACAGAGTGATTTAAATATGATAGAATTTTATTTCTTTTTCACATAATAATACAAATATGAGCAATTCAGGGCTGGCAGGTGAACCCTATCATCCTCAGAACTTGTTTTCCTTTCTGGGGTCAAGATGTCTATTCCAGTTGTAGCTATTCCCAGCTATCATGAAGAAAGAAAGAAGTCTAGGGCAAGCAGCTTCGTTTATAAGGACACAGCATGGAAGTTGTATACATCACTTTTTTTAAAATTTATTTTTTATTATACTTTAAGTTCAAGGGCACTTGTGCACAACGTGCAGGATTGTTACATATGTATACATGTGCCATGTTGGTGTGCTGCACCCATTAACCCGTCACTTACATTAGGTATATCTCCTAATGCTATCCTTCCCCTCTCCCCCCAACCCACAAAAGGCCCCGGTGTGTGTGATGTTCCCCTTCCTGTATCCAAGTGTTCTCATTGTTCAGTTCCCACCTATGAGTGAGAACATGCGGTGTTTGGTTTTCTGTTCTAGTGATAGTTTGCTGAGAATGATGGTTTCCAGCTGCATCCATGTCCCTACAAAGGACACAAACTCATCCTTTTTTATGGCTGCATAGTATTCCATGGTGTATATGTGCCACATTTTCTTAATCCAGTCTGTCATTGATGGACATGTGGGTTGATTCCAAGTCTTTGCTATTGTGAATAGTGCCACAATAAACATACATGTGCATGTGTCTTTATAGCAGCATGATTTATAATCCTTTAGGTATATACCCAGTAATGGGATGGCTGGGTCAAATGGTATTTCTAGTTCTAGATCCTTGAGGAATTGCCATACTGTCTTCCACAATGGTTGAACTAGTTTACAGTCCTACCAACAGTGTAAAAGTGTTCCTATTTCTCCACATCCTCTCCAACTATTGTTGTTTCCTGACTTTTTAATGATCACTATTCTAACTGGTGGGAGATGGTATCTCATTGTGGTTTTGATTTGCATTTCTCTGATGGTGAGTGATGAGGAGCATTTTTTCATGTGTCTGTTGGCTGTATGAATGTCTTCTTTTGAGAAGTGTCTGTTCATATCCTTTGCCCACTTTTTGATGGGGTTGTTTGTTTTTTTCTTATAAATTTGATTGAGTTCTTTATAGGTTCTGGATATTAGCCGTTTGTCAGATGAGAAGATTGCAAAAATTTTCTCCTGTTCTGTGGGTTGCCTGTTCACTGTGATGGTAGTGTCTTTTGCTGTGCAGAAACTCTTTCGTTTAATTAGATCCCATTTGTCAATTTTGGCTTTTGTTGCCATTGCTTTTGGTGTTTTACACATGAAGACCTTGCCCATGCCTATGTCCTGAATGGTATTACCTACGTTTTCTTCTAGGGTTTCTATGGTTTTAGGTCTAACATTTAAGTTTGTAATCCATCTTGAATTAATTTTCGTATAAGGAGTAAGGAAAGGATCTAGTTTCAGCTTTTTACTTCTGGCTAGCCAATTTTCCCAGCACCATTAAATGGGGAATCCTTTCCCCATTTCTTGTTTCTCTCAGGTTTGTCAAAGATCAGATGGCTGTAGATGTGTGGTATTATTTCTGAGGGCTCTGTTCTGTTCCATTGGTCTCTATCTCTGTTTTGGTACCAGTACAATGCTGTTTTGGTTACTGTAGCCTTACAGTATAGTTTGAAGTCAGGTAGTGTGATCCCTCCAGCTTTGTTCTGTTGGCTTAGGATTTTCTTGGCAATGCGGGGTGTTTTTTGGTTCCATATGAACTTTAAAGCAGTTTTTTCCAATTCTGTGAAGAATGTCATTGGTAGCTCAATGGGGATGGCATTGAATCTATAAATTACCTTGGGCAGTATGGCCATTTCCACAATATTGATTCTTCCTATCCATGAGCATGGTATGTTCTTCCATTTGTTTGTGTCCTCTTTTATTTCATTGAGCAGTGGTTTGTAGTTCTCCTTGAAGAGATCCTTTACATCCCTTGTAAGTTGGATTCCTAGCTATTTTATTCTCTTCGAAGCAATTGTGAATGAGAGTTCATTCATGATTTGGCTCTCTGTTTGTCTGTTACTGGTGTATAAGAATGCTTGTGATTTTTGCACATTGATTTTGTATCCTCAGACTTTGCTGACATTGCTTATCAGCTTAAGAAGATTTTGGGCTGAGACGATGGGGTTTTCTAAATATACAATCATGTCATCTGCAAACCGGGACAATTTGACTTCTTCTTTTCCTAACTGAATACCCTTGATTTCTTTCTCTTGCCTGATTGCCCTAGCCAGAACTTCCAACACTATGTTGAATAGGAGTGGTAAGAGAGGGCATCCCTGTCTTGTGCCAGTTTTCAAGGGGAATGCTTCCAGTTTTTGCCCATTCAGTATGATATTGGCTGTGGATTTGTCATAAATAGCTCTTATTATTTTGAGATATGTTCCATCAATACCAAATTTATTGAGAGTTTTTAGCATGAAGGACTGTTGAATTTTGTTGAAGGCCTTTTCTGCATCTTTTGAGATAATCATGTGGTTTTTGTCTTTGGTTCTGTTTATATGCTGGATTACATTTATTGATTTGCATATGTTGAACCAGTCTTGCATCCCAGGGATGAAGCCCACTTGATCATGGTGGACTAAACTTCTTGATGTGCTGCTGGATTCGGTTTGCCAGTATTTTATTGAGGATTTTTGCATTGATATTCATCAGGGATATTGGTCTAAAATTCTCTTTTTTTGTTGTATCTCTGTCAGACTTTGGTATCAGGATGATGTTGGCCTCATAAAATGAGTTAGGGAGGATTCCCTCTTTTTCTATTGATTGAAATAGTTTCAGAAGGAATGGTATCAAATCAGTTATTTATTTAGTTCCTCTCATTTGTTTCTGATCAGAAACCAGTGAGAAACATCTAACAAGATCTTTTAATTTAAAAAAAAAGAAACCAGAAAAGAGATATTTACATCAGTTTTTTAAAAAAATGTATTATTAGTTGCTAGCATTCAGGTAGGGCCAAGTGAGAATACTTTTTTAAAATTATTTTGACTTTTATTTTAGGTTCAGGGAGTACATGTGCAGGTTTGTTACATGGGCATATTGTGCAATGCTACGTTTTAGAGTATGAATGATCCTGTCATCCAGGTAGTGAGCATACTATCCAATAGTTAGTTTTTCAACCATTTTCCCCATCCTCCCGTCCCCCTTTAGTAATCCCCAGTGTCTCTTGTTAAATCTTTCTTTTAATTAATTTCAACTTTTATTTTAGGTATGGGGGTACCTGTGCAGGTTTGTTACATGGGTGTATTATGTGATGCTGAGGTTTGGGGTACAGATCCCATCTCATAGGTAGTAAGCATAGTACCCAATAGGTTTTCAACCCTTGCCCCCCATACCAGTTTCTATTGTTGCCATCTTTATGTCCATAAGTACCCAATGTATAAGTGAGAACATTTTTGCTTTCTGTTCCTGCATTCATTTGCTGAGAAATTAATGGCTTCCAGCTACATCCATGTTGCTGAAAAGGACATAATTTCATTCTTTTTAAAGTCTGCGTAGAATTCCATGGTTTATAAGTACCACATTTCCTTTATCCAGTCCACCATTGATGGGCAGCTAGGTTGATTCTATGTCTTTGCTATTGTGAATAGTGCTGTGATGAACATATGAGTGCATGTGCCTTTTTGGTAGAATGATTTAGTTTTCTTGCTTTTTTTTTGAGATGGAGTCTCACTTTGTCACGCAGGCTGGAGTGCAGTGGCTTGATTTCGGCTGACTGCAACCCCCGCCTCCCGGGTTCAAGCAATTCTCATGCCTTGGCCTCCCAAGTAGCTGGGACTACAGGCACACACCGCCACACCCATTTCTTGCCCATTTTTAATGAGGTTATTTGATTTTGCTTCTGAATTGTTTCAGTTTTTGGAAATTTTAAAAACTGACTTCCTCTCTCTGAGCCTGAGTATACTCATCTTGAAAATTATGCTGTATAAGATGAAAGAACAGGACTAGAAAAGGAGGGAGGGAAGGAGCAGCAGGCTTGAATCTACATCCTGGCTCACTTTCTGGCTAACAATGTCTCTTGTAGAATAAGTCCTGTCATCTCTGCGCAACTGATTACACCTCTGGCACCTACCTAAACCCCATAGGCCTATTAGAAATGTCAAATGACAAATCTGTTTGTAAACTAGACAGAATCCTATAAGGATAAAATCTGTAAGATTTCATTCCCTTCCTATGCCTCACCATAGTTAATGCTTTCCTGCCACCTTGTACCTTGCCCTTTTGTAAAACTAATTTCATCAAGACATCATTAGGGCTGCAGCTAAAGCCTGTGGCTTCTGATTTTAGCTCAGTTCTCTTGTAGTATTAATTATATACCAAATTTCTATCTGGATGATGGCAAACAAGGAAACCTGCCATCCTTTATTCTTTTTTCTTTTTTTTGACAAAGCCTCACTCTGTTGCCCAGGCTGGAGTGCAGTGGCATGATCTTGGCTCACAGCAACCTCTGCCTTCCAGGTTCAAGGGATTCTTGTGCCTCAGCCAACCAAGTAGTTGGGATTACAGGTACAAGCCACTACACCCAGCTAATTTTTTTAATTTTTATTTTTAGTAGAGATGGGGTTTTGCCATGTTGCCCAGGCTGGTCTTAAACTCCTGAGCTTAAGCAGTCTACCAGCCTTAGCATCCCAAAGTGCTGGGATTACAGGCATGAGCCACCGTGTATGGCATACCTGCCATCTTTAATTGTGGTTATGCAGCCAATGTGGTGAGAAGTCTGACATTAGAAGAAATAGGGACCAGGCGTGGTGGCTCACGCCTGTAATCCCAGCACCTTGGCAGGCCAAGGCGGGTGAATCACCTGAAGTCAGGAGTTCAAAACTAGCCTGACCAACATGGAGAAACCCCATCTCTACTAAAAAATACAAAAATTAGCCGGGCATGGGGGCGCATGCCTGTAATCCCAGCTATTCTGGAGGCTGAGACAGAAGAATCGCTTGAACCTGGGAGGCGGAGGTTGTGGTGAGCCGAGATCGTGCCATTGCACTCCAGCCTAGGCAACAAGAGCGAAACTCCCTCTAAAAAAAAAATAATAAATAAAATTTTTTAAAAGAAAAAAAAGAAATATATCCCCCCTTTTTTTTTCTATCTGTGACATGAAGCTGGTTCTGACTTAGCTTCCCCATAAATATTCAAATGAAAATGAGGGGTGGATGGCCAGGTGCTGATAGTACTCTTTGGATTCCTCTAGTTATGGTTACATTTTCCTGAACAACAAGGATGGGCTCCTGGGTTCCAGATACAAGAAAGCTGTATTCAGGGAATACACTGATGGTACATTCAGGATCCCTCGGCCAAGGACTGGACCAGAAGAACACTTGGGAATCTTGGGTAAGGGAATTCCACTTCCCTCCTAATGTTTAACAGCCTGATCTGCACCTAGGGCAGCTATGTTGTACCAGGATGGCCTCACTATTCCCCATTCTCAGTGTTTTCATATGATACACTGGAATTATGGAATATTTTATGAAACAATCACGACAATAAACAGTGAAGGAGGAGGAGGGAAATCATGAATTCTGCTGCAACATGAACCAGGTTTTACTGGGTTTTCTGTATCTTCAAGGTATGAGTTTCTGAGGATGGTAAGTTGTAATAAATGCTAGGGGCAGGAGAACTTAGGAACATCAAAAAGTGAAAAAAATATATATATACAAGGAATCAGTTTTTTCATTGTACCCCTGTTTAACTATTGCTTTAGGTGTTTTCCCCCTTATTCTAGTTATGGTACAGAAGGGACCCATTGACTCCTGAAGAGATCCTCTCAATTCTATATTGTCTGCCAAACTTATCACTCCTTATCATCAATGATTCCACAGCACCTTGATTCTTTAGACCTTAGGGCTGTTATAGATAGAGGGTAGGGGTGGGAAAAGTGGAGGTAATTGAAAGTACAATATTGTCGTTGAAGTACCTTCATCCTGTGGGTAATAGTAACAGTTTAAGGACTTCTGAATCTAAAAATGGAGCCAGCCATGCCTTCTAGGTCTTAGAAGGATGTTTTTTTCAGGGTAAACTCCTAATTCTATGAAGTGCCCATGTATGTCCCTTTCTTTAATGTTCCCTGTCCTACTCCTTCATTAATGAAACTTTATTTATTTACTTATTTTTGTTTACATTAGGTCCACTTATCAAAGGAGAAGTTGGTGATATCCTGACTGTGGTATTCAAGAATAATGCCAGCCGCCCCTACTCTGTTCATGCTCATGGAGTGCTAGAATCTACTACTGGCTGGCCACTGGCTGCTGAGCCTGGTGAGTGAGGACACTTAGTGAAAGAACAAAGGACATGCATCACCTCTGCTTCAGGCTTCTGGATTGTTCCTTTAAAAATTATGTACTTCAGACTGGAGTGGTAGCTTATTCCTATAATCCCAGCATTTTGAGGGGCTGAGGCGGGTGGATCACTTGAGGTCAGGAGTTCAAGACTAGCCTGGTCAACATGGTGAACCCTCATCTCTACCAAAAATACAAAAATTAGCTGGGTGCAGTGGCGTGCACCTGCAGTCCCAGCTACTCAGGAGGTTTAGTCAGGAGAATCTCTTGAACCCAGGAGGTGGAGGCTGCAGTGAGCCAAGATCATGCCACCACACTCCAGGTGGAAATGAGACAGCTGTATGGATAGGAGATTATCATCAGTTTGAGATATGGATCTGTAACTTGGAAGAGACACCTGGGATAGACATAGAGGTTTAGCAGTTGTAAGTAATTACAATGGATGATAGTTGAAATCATGATATGTATGTAATCACCCAGTGAGATAGTGTGTAAAGTGACAATGATATTAGCTGAGAATGAAACTTTGGAACATACTACTATTTAAGAGGAGGTAATCTATCTTAAATAATGTATAGGTTTAAAGTAGTTCTAACTACTATATCCAATCACAGTTGGATATTTTATTTTATTTGTACAAATGTAAGGAGTATGTGAGAAATTTTGTTACATGTATATTACATATAATGATCAAGTCAGAATATGTATAGTGTCCATCATCCGAGTATAATATATTTTTGTTAAGTATAGTAATCTTAATCTGCTATCAGACATTGAATTCATTACATTTTACTGTATATTTTTACCCTTTAAATCAGTTTTCTTCATCTTTCCCTTTCTTTAACACTCACCACCCTTCCTAGTCTCCGTTATCTACCTTTCCACTCTTTATTTCCATATGATCAAAGGTTTTAGCTATTACATATAAGTGAGAAAATGCAATATTTGTCTTTTTGGGTCTGATTTATTTTACTTAAGATAATGACCTCCATTTCCATCCATGTTGCTGCAGATGATATGATTTCATTCTTTTTTATGGCTGAATAGTGTTCCATTGTGTATATATACCACATTTTCTTTATCCATTCATCCCTTGATGAACACAGGTTGATTTCATATATTTGCTATTGTGAATAGTGCTATATATAAGTGCAGGTATTCCTTTGATATATTGATTTCTTTTCATTTGGGTAAATATCTAGTAGTGACATTCCTGGATTGAATAGTAATTTTTTAGTTTTTTTAGAAGTTTTTGTACCATGTTTTATAGTGCCTCCACTAGTTTACATTTCCACCAATAGTGTGTAAGAGTTCCCTTTTCTCTGCATCCTTGCCAGCATCTGTTATTATTATTATTTTTTGTCTTTTTAGTAATAGCCATTCTGACTAGGATAAGATGATCTGTCATTGTGGTTTTAATGTGCATTTTCCTGATAATTAGTAATGTTGAGCATGTTTTCATATACCTGTTGGCCATTTGTTTGTCTTATTTTGAGAAATGTCTATTCATGTCTTTTACCCACTTTTTAATGTGTTTTTTTTTTTTCCTTTTAACTTGCTTGAGTTTCTTGGTATTCTAGTATTAGTCCCCTGCCAAATGAATACTTTGTAATTGTTTTCTCCCATTCAACAGGTTGTCTTTTCACTCTGTTATTTCCTTTGCTGTGCAATATTTAGTTAAATATAGTCCCATTTGCCTATTTTTGCTTTTATTAACTGTACTTTTGAGGTCATCAATTCTTTGACTCAACCAATGTTCAGGAGTTTCTCTCCAGTTTTCTTCTACTATTTTTATAGTTTCACATCTGACATTTTAGTCTTTAATCCATTGTAAGATAATTTTGTATATGGTGAGAGATAGAGGTCCAGTTTTATTCTTCTGCATGTGGCTATCCAATTTTCTCAGCACTATTTACTAAAGAGGATGTTCTTTCTCCAATGTAACTTTTTGTCAGTTTTGTCAAAGATCAGTTGATTGTAAATATGTGGCAATATTTTTGGATTTTCTATTCTGTTTCATTGGTCTATGTGTCTATTTTTATACCATGCTGTTTTGGTTACCATAGCCTTTTAATATATTTTGAAGTCAGGTAATGTAATGCCTCCAGTGGTTTATTTGTTTATTTGTTTATGGCTCAGGACTGCTTTGGCTATTTGGGTTCTTTTTTGGTGTCATATAAATGTTCAAATTTTTGAAAAGTTTTGTTAAGTATGACATTGATATTTTTAGAGGAATTGCATTGAATCTGCAGATTGCTTTGGACAATATGGTCATTTTAATGATATTAATTATTTTGATATTTTTTCATTTGTTTATATCCTCTTCAATTTCTTTCATCAGTGTTTGTAGTTTTCATTGTAGAGATCTTTCATCTCTTTGGTTAAAATTTTTACTAGGTATTTTTATTATTCCTAGGTATTTTATTATTTTGTATAACTACAACTGGATATATTTTTGTACTGCAATGAAATTATTGTATGCAAAGTTCATTTGGAAAAATAAAGAATACCTGAGCAAGAAGAGCCAAAACACTTAAAAAATACTAATGAAATCATACTAGCATAACCCAATAGTATAGCATATTATGAAGATGAAGATACAATAATTAAAGTGACATGATACTGTAAATAAAAATCAATAGGACAAAACAAACATTCATGAAACAGACCCACGCTTCTGCCTTTGTCAATAGCAATGGGAATACAGATAATGCTAGTCTATTACTAACTGCACACTTCTGCCTTCTACCTCCATCAGCTTCAGACAAGAAAGATGTTAATTTGATTAGTCAGAACCTAAAATGTTCGCTGGAAATGTCTTACCAGTGGGCAGGATTACTGTTTCTTTTATCTCAGCACTCCCTATTGCACTGCCCCTTTCCATGTGGTAAGTTGACCTATGCCTGCAACTGGGTAAGCTGGATATGTGAGTTAGTAGAGGGTCTGTGCTGCAGATCTAGCTATCTTAATTTAATGAAATTTGAGAGTCATCAGCATGTAGATGATATTTAAAGTCATAATATGGATGAGATCACTCAAAGAGTGAGTTATACAGTAAGTAGTGGCAAAGGTGGCTGGATTAATTCAGGTAAGAGATGATGGTAGCTTGGACCAGCTGGATAAAGTGGAAAGGGTGAGTAGTTTTCTAATTCTGTATTTATTTTGATGGTTAAGAAATTAGCTGGTGAATTGGGGTTTCTAGATGCTGTCTTTTTTATTTTTGGTAGTTGCTATATTTTAGTCATTAATCCCTTCTATGATTTAAACATGGCAGATATCTTTTCCCAGTTTGTTAACTTTGTGTGTGATATCCTTTGTTGAACAGAAATCCTTAATGTAATGTGATCAAATTGATGGAATTTTGGCCTCATAGTTTGTGCTTTTGAAATTTTGTTTATCAAGTTCTTCCCAACCCTTGGACACAAAGACATTCTGCTGCATTATCTTCTGTTAAATTTATAAGTTTCTTTTTTCACATTCAAATCTGTAATCAGACCAGAGTTTGCATTTTTATATTCTATTAGCTAGAGATCCATTTTTAATTTTTCTTTATATAGAAAGAAAATGTTATTAATACCATCTTCTAAACCATTTGACGATCCCCCCTTTGAGTTGCTTTGCCATCATTATTTCATGTTTAGTTTCTTTAAATACATTAATCAGTCTCCAATCTATTCTGTTATATTTGTCTATTCAGTTATTGAAACAATATCGTATTATTTTTATTATCATAGGCTTGAAAGTTGTCTTAATATTTGAAGAACAAACCTCTTTTATTCAGGATTTACTTAGGTGTATGTTATTTTTCCATATAGATTTTAGAGTAAGTTTCAAGTTTCTCAAATACAGCTGAAATTTTGATTGACATTGTATTAAATTTATAGATTAATTAGGAGATAATTTGCATCTTTGCATTATTTGTTGGAATGGATCTCCATTTATTCAGATGGCCTTCTATGACTTTATAGTGTTGTAAAAATGTCGTCATAAAGGTTGTACATATGCTTGGTTAAGTTAATCCATTAATGCTTCTTAGTTTTTCATACTACTTTTAAATTATATTTCTAATAGATTATTTATAATGTAGAGAAATGCTATTCATTTGTGTAAGTCGAACCTGTATCTGGTAGTCTTCCTGAACTCCATTGTTAGTTTTACTAGTTTGTTGATTCCAGAAATATTGAGAGTTTTATTCTATCTCTTATTCTTTCCATTTCCATATATTTTTGCCAGGATCACCAATACTAGTGATGGTAGTGGTCATCTTCAACTCTCTACCAATCTCAAGGGAATGCATGCAAAGTTTCTCTCTGTTTGCTATGATTTTTTTGGAAATTTATTTAAATTTCTAAGAGAACAAAAATTTATTTAAGTTTTTAATCAAGATAACTGATCTAAAACCTTCAATAGAAGAATAATTTTGAAACCATTTTGGTGGTGGAGGAGAAAATGGTGGATAGGAAGTAGAGTAACTTGCAACTCCCACTGGAATGGACAGAGCAGCATGTGGAGATCCATATTATCAACTTTTGCTCCAGGAACTACCGTAGAAACATACCACTGAGAGAATCCACAGACCCTTTGAAGGAGGTGCATTGCCACTGTAAGCTCCATGGGACAGCTGAGGGACTGTGAGTTGTCTTGCTTTCTCAGTTGGGAGGCTTGTAGCCTGGGGAAGGTTGTCAGTCCTGCTCACCAACTGCCTGGAAATAAACTCAGTGCTATTGGGAAGGCACGATGCTATTGAGACTGGCCTTTTCAGCTGTGGGCTGCCATCTTTCTTTCACTTCCCTGGTGTCCTGTGTGATGTAGCAGAGGCAGCCATAATCCCCCTAGGAACACAACTCCATTGGCCTGGGAAACACACTCGCATCCCCCAAAGCAGCCACAGCAAGCCCTGCCCAAAGAGAGTCTGAGTTCAGGCATGCCTAATTCTGCACTCCTGTTAGCCAAAGACAATGAACATAATCTCTGGGGAG